AAGTCTCCCACTTAGAAAAATTACAGTGATCTGATTCATAAATGAATACCCACCACTCAGAGGGAAGAAAAAGTCTAACATCCTCAGCACTTTCTTTTTTAAAAAATATTTTTTTAGTTGTAGATGGACACAATATATTTATTTTATTCATTCATTTATATGTGGTGCTGAGGATCAAACCCAGTGCCTCACATGTGCTAGACCAGTGCTCTATCACTAAACCATAACCACAACCCCCTCAGCACTTCTATTGCCAGAAGTGGTACTGAGTACTTTTATATAGTAGCTCACTTAATTCTCTTGATAAATCATGACAGTATTATTCTCATTGCAAACATAGGAAAGGCTGGGGTTATAACTCAGGGGTAGAGCGCTTGGCCTTGAATTCCATTCCTAGAACCACACACACAAACACACACACACACACACACACACACACAGAGGGGAAACTAAGGCTCCCGAAGATAACATCATGGCACAAGCTAAATGAAAGGATCGAGTCATTTTGCTACGCCCCACCATCTGTAACACTGAGGACAGAAGTGGGTGTACCCAAGGAAATTGAGTGGGTCTGCTTGTTAGTGCCTTGGTGGCTGCAATTCAGTAAATGCCTCTGATTTCAAGTAGGCATTGCATGAATGGCAGCTAATCCCATCCACACCACAGTCTGTTTCCTCTCCCTGTCAAAGTCTTCACAAAGGACTTTTTTTGGTCTCCAACAAGACCAGGAATAAGAATTGGCTTAGAGAACCTCTTCCCTAGTGCTACAAAAAAAAAAAATTTCCTATTATTGATGAATTATCCCTTTTCCATTCTCATTGGTGGAAAATCCCATGGAGACTGATTTGTTCAGATACGGAGAAGCATTTCAGACTTAAATATGTTTCAGAAGTTGAAGTTGTGACTGTGAAGGTTTATAGCTCAGATTTTCTCTTTGTCAGTGGGGTCTTCGTGTACAGAATAGAGCATATTAATTATTCATTTGAGGGAAAAAAATCATGTTGCTCTAGAGATTTTTCCATCCATAAAATGTGGATAATAAAAGCTATCCCACCTTGTTCATATGGTTTGGGGAATTATACAAAGAATACAAAGAATAAAGTTGAGAATAATTTATAATACATTGGCAAATGCCATCTCCTCTAGTTTTTTCAGTCTAAAAAGACCCAGCACCCCCTTCGGTCTCCTTACAGTAGCCTATCTTCTCTTATTTTTATAGCAGCTCTCATTTACCCAAATTGACTTTTTCACTTGGTTGTTTATTTGAGGGTTTCCTGTCTCTCCAACTACAATGAGATTCCGTACAAGAAGGGATTTTTGTCTTTTTTTGGGGGGAGGGGTACTGGGGATTGAACTTAGGGATGCTTAACCACTGAGACACATCCTCAGCCCTTTTAAATATTTTATTTAAATGAAAACTCGCTGAGTTGCTAAGTGCTTTGCCAAATTGCTGAGGCTGGCTTTGAACTTGCAATCCTCCTGCCTCAGTCTACCTGACTCACAAAGATCACAGGGATTTGCCACCACACCCAGCAATTTTTGTCCTTTTTGCCATTGCAATGCCAGCATCTCAAACTGTCCCCAGCGCATAGTGGGTACTCAATAAATTCATGTTGAATAGTAAAACTTTTGTGTTACATTATATAACTTTATCCAAATTTTGAAAATTGGATTCAAGTTCAAAAAAATTGATTAATCATAACCTTTGTTTTGTGGCACTCATCTTTGATTCATATATGGCCCTCTTATAATTATTTACCTATTAGTTTTTTTCAAAAATTATATAATAAACATCTGAAAAAAATAGAACCTAAAACAAAATCTAGGGTCCTTCATTGGACCACAGGGCCCTGTATCTTGGGAATTCCAGGTGCTTTGTTCCCTGTTGTCTTTAGTCTTCTCCCCAGAAGTAGAGCCTCAAGTGAGACACTTGTGCAAGTGATATGCTGAGAGGGTGGTCTCAGGAGAGGGGAGCCAGAGAAACAGGGTGAGACAGGAAGAAAATGTAAAGCACAGACAATTTGCCTGGATCAGCTGGAGACAGGTCTCAGTGTGACCCTCAGGAGCTCTGAAGCCACTGGTACCCAAGTGCTGACCCCATCTCAGGGCAAAAAACTAGCCATCTGAACCCTTGAGTCAGCTAGTCAAAGGCTGACATTGGGGAGGTAGGATATGGGAAAACAGGTACATAGCCTTCTAAGTAGGGCAGCCCCCATTTGGCCAAGAGCAGTTCTGTAGAAAGGGATGCAGCCTTGGACGGTTGGCAGCCAACTCACAGTACCTGGGAATCAGTGCACTGGACCAGAAGAGGCAGTCTGGGCATGTCCATGTTGTCTCGCCCACCCTTTTATATAGTTTAATCAAAATATGTATTTAGTCTTAAAACTCTGTGTGTGTGTATGTGTGTGTGTTTATGTGTGTGTTCAATTGTTTGGAATTTTCTAGAAAGGAAATCCATTACATTTTGTTTTGACTGACATATAATATTTAATAGATGAATATACCACACTTTATTCACCCATTCTCCCATGGATGGTCTTCTGAATTATTTCTAGGTCTTCACTATGATGAACAGTGCTTCTTGGGTTTATTTCTGTGGTGGAAATAGCCAGATCATAAGGTATAAACTTTAGAAGATGGTGTTATACTAATTCACATGCCCACTGATAATACATGAGACCCTGCCATCTATGTCCTTTCCAACTTTTTAATTCTTATAAATTAAATGAGTATAAAATGGCATCTCACTGTAGTCTTAAATTCTTCATGTCTTCAACCGCTAATCATACATTCCTATGTTCATCACATGCATCTGCGAGATAATTTTTTTAATATTTATTTTTTTTTTTAGTTTTCGGCAGACAAAACTAAAAAAAATGTATGTGGTGCTGAGGATCGAACCCAGGCGACACCCATGCCAGGCGAGCGCGCTACCACTTGAGCCACATCCCCAGCCCTATTTTACCCCTCCTTTTCTATTGGGTTATTTGTGCTTTCCTTATTGATTTTTTAGTTTGTCATTCACTCTTTGCTGTGTGTATTCTGAAAATTGTGGATATCTTCTCGCACATTTTAACTTGTATTTTCACCTTGGGTTCCGTGTCTTTTACTCACCTTGATTACATTATAGTCACACATATTATTCCTTTTCTTTTTATGGCTTTTTATGTCTTATTTAAGAAGTATTTCCTTTAAATATTCTGAAGGACAATCTCAATCTAAGGGCGGAGGGTCACAAATGGAACCGGGTTATAGGCAGATTACAGAAGCAAGCACTTTCGTGCCTCCCAAGACACCGTTCCATTTGAAAGAGCCCTGACTAGCAAGCACAAGTGACCAGCTGGCTGGCTGGCAGGTGTGTTCTGGTTATAGAATTAGATATATCATGCTATTAGAGCTGGATGCCATTAAAAATTCTAATCATAGACTGTAATTAACTTTCCTTGCTCTGACGCCCGCTCACTAAGCAACCTTCTGATTATCATTTGGCTTCCCATGTATCTTGCCTACAGGGAGAGAATGTACTGAGAATGTACTGTTCAGGCCGACGTGAGGATCCAATCCATTAAACAGTTACATGCCATGATGTAAATTAATAAATTCGTATTCTGATTTTATCATCTGCCTCATCTGGGCTCCGAAGGCGTGAGTCAGCATCCCCGGGTCTAATCAACACAGACACTGAGAATATCAAGCTTCTGGGCTGAAAAACTAAGAACTAGCCCCAGACCTGAGTGAAATCACCAAGGTAACATTGCCCTGGAGGCCCCTCGGCCTGATGAAGGAGGCTTTCCTACATGTCATGCGATACGGACAGGGATTAAAATTGACGTTTGACATTATAAAGGGCTGCATATTCAAAACTGTGGCTCGGTTCCATTCAGGTGAAGGCAAAGAATAGGGGATGATCATGAGACTCATATTGAATATTTATTGGCTTATGAGCACACACCAGATGCTGCACAAATCCTAGGCAGAAGGTTGAGATTTACAGACATGTTTGAAAATAGCAAAAACATAAACAAAACAAAACAAAAAAAAGGACAGATGGTACGTGCTGAGGAGATGGAACAAGAGGCATCTGACTGATAAATTCTTGTTCCACGTAGGTACTTGTGGTCTAGCATCCACAACAGAAGAAGGCAACTTTAAAGCCTCAAAGTAAAAGAAAACAGGAGAAAGAAACACAGGGTACACCAGAGCACAAACAGGAATGCACTGAGGCCGTGAGATGATCCAGACCAGAGGAATGATTTAGGACGTGAGGGCTGAGGGCAAGATCTTTGAAGTAAGTTCAAAAGGCAAAGTGGAGATGAGTCCGTTAGGACAGATGGGGATAATTGAGCAATCCTGCAATTTAGTCTGCCACTTTATCCATGATCCTGGGTGAGTGGCACCTACAGTGACACTGATCCCCTTCTGGGATCCCAGTTACACTGAGTAATAAAGGGAAGAAAGTGATAAGAACTGCAGTATCTGGAAATTCTTAGCCTAGTGACGGGAAGAGAGTCTCTGCTTTGTATTCTGGCCAAATAAGGGGGAGGGGTCAAACCCACAGGATTTGTTGCTCAAAGAAAGATACGTTCCTAAGCTGGGCTTGGTGGTGAGTCCCAGTTACTCATGAGGCTAAGGCAGGACAATCATTTGTGCCTAGAAGCTTAAGGCCAGCCTAGGCAACATAGCAAAACTTTATCTCAAAAAATAAAGAAGAAGAAGAAGAAAAGAATGTTCTAGAAGGAGTGAGAGAAATTCAAGGAAGCTCTATGTAAACAAGCATTATTTCCTGCAGCACTCCTGTGGGACACCCACCAGAGTCAGGTCTGGTTTAGGGATGTTCTTTGGCTCTAAAAATGAGGTAGAGATATGCTATCCTGTGTGTGACCTGATCAATCTGCAGTGTGGAAGGAAGGTACACCAAAGGCTCAACCAAACAGCAGGCCCATGCACAGCAGGTTCGTGGAAGTGCTTCTCACAGGTGCACCGCCAGGATGCATGAATTCCAGGGAGCGGGGCTGCAGAGGGCTGGCCTGTGTTCTCTACCAAGCCAGAGCGCTCTGACTCACACATGAAGGAATGAGCTCTTTAAGAGTGGCCTCAGTTGGTGTGCTTATGGGACAAATAAATGTAGACAGAGGGGGCTCCTTGTCTAGTAGAGGTTGTCCCGCACGTGCTCCATGATGGTCTTCAGCCCCAGCCAGGTCTCCTCTGCGGTGGGGATGATCTGGTTGGCCGGAAGAAGGAAGCCATAATGTCCTGTATCTCTCAACTCAAATGTGAATGCATACTTGATGCCATTGTCATATGCCCAGTCGATGCTGCTCCCACTAGCTGGATCTGTAAGTCCAAAGAACAAACACTAGTGAAACCCAGTTTCCTTTAGGATTCCAGAGGAGAGGGCCAGGAGTTCTGCCTGCCTAGAGTTCTTTAGGGACCCAGAGTTCTTTCTGCAAGTCATCAGGCCTCTGACACATAAACTCTGGCTCCATCCATAGATCTTAGGATGTCCTGTATCATGAGGTTCTACAATAATTTCAAATCAAGAGATAGGAGGAAATCCTTACACCCACCCTGTCACTAACTCACTGTGTCCAGCACTGCAGGTCACTCAAAACCAGTCCTTACAGAGATGGGTGGAGTCAGCAGCATCCAAGGGAGCCCTAACAACCCTGGTCTCCTGGAATTGTGTCCTCTCTCCTACACAGAATAGGGCTGGCTTCACTTGTGTCACTAACAGGATATTGCAAAAACAAAGCTGTCATGAAAGATACTGCAGCTTGTCCTTGTCCTCTCTTGGGTCCCTTTCTCTGGGGGAAGCCAGAGCTATAATGTAACAAGCCTGATCAAGAGCTTACTGTGGTAAAGAACTGCAAACTCCTAGCAATACTCAGCACTAACTCACCAGGCACCCAAGTGAGTCACCCTATAAGCAGATCCTCCAGCCTTATCAAGACTAGTTAACTGCTGCCCTGGAAGATATCTTGACCCATCTAAGACCCTGAGCCAGAACCACCCAGCTAAGCTATTCTTGAATTCCTGACCCATAGAAACAGTGTAAGAAAATAAATGTTTATTGTGTTAAGCTGCTAAGTTTTATGGTTTTTTTAATACAGCAAGAGATAACTGATATGCAAAGAGGAAGCACATTCCTTAGGGTTTCCCTTTGCCAAAAGGCTTGAGAGAGACAGGAGGCCTGTTTTTCTGCTTCTTCCCAAACTGTACCAGAGCAGAAATCAGCTAAAAGTCCAAAAGAGAAATGATCTTGAATAATAAAATAATGATGTCAATAGCAGCTATTATCTATTCAGCATGAGCCAGTCATTATGTTGGAAACTTGACAGTTATGATCTTGCAATCTTCCAAAACCAGTGAGGTAGGTATTACTGTCCTTGTTTTACAGATGAGGGAATCCAGGCTCAGACAGGGTAATTCATCTAAGAAAGTACAGATGCAAAATGGCAGCTCTGGAATTTAAGCCCAGGTCCATCTGATGATAAAGCCCATGCTTTCTTCAACCTACTTGAGGTTCATCTGCTTTATTAACACGTCTGATAAATGAAAATATGGGCTGGGCTTGGTGGCGCACACCTGTAATCCTAGCAGCTTTGGAGGCTGAGGCAGGAGAATCACAAGTTCAGAGACAGCCTCAGCAAAAGCAAGGTACTAAACAACTTAGTGATACCCTGTATCTAAATAAAATACAAAAAAGGGGTGGGGATGTGGCTCAGGGGTCAAGTGCCCCTGAGTTCAATCCCTAGTACCGGAAAAAAAAAAAAGGAACAGAAAGAAAATATGGTTCTTTTACCTTCCTGTTATTTCTGTGAGTTGTTTCTCATGGTGGTATGGTATGTGCAATGTTTCTAGAGACACTGCCCGCACTGACAAGACACGTTCCCTAAGGGTATGAACAGGCTCCGCTCTGCTCTCAGAAATCCTTCCGTGTTTCCCATGGATTTTCTACCCTGAGAAAATGCTTCAGCAAAAATAGATGATGGTACCAGAAGCTTCTAAGGGTTCTTTATATGGAAAGCTCAAGTATTTCATAGCACATTTAAGACTTTGGAAGGAGGCAGAACAGCATCTGCTCAGAGGTCAAAGTGATCAAATTCACAAGCTTCACTTTATTCCCTGCTCAACATTCAGCTAATCTCTCATTTTTTTCCTGACACACACGGGAACCTACTATTAACATTGCAGTTTTCAATTAATAATTAAAGATTATTCCCTAATAACACACATAGAGCCATTTAAGGCAGCATAGTATTTCATCATATGGATATACCAAATGTGTTTTTAATCCAGCATGCTCCTGATGGACATTGGAGATGTTTTCTAGCAATTTGTGATAGTAAGTAATGCTGTCATAAACATCCTTAACACCTATGAATTTCCCATGAATCAGATGAACCCAAAGAACTTGTTTTTAAGCCCTTAGTAGATCAGAAGAAGTGAAGAAAAGGACTGTTGGAGGCAGTTGGCCAGAAAGCAGTGCAAGCCAGAGAGGAGGAAGGAGACTAAAAACTCTAAAAAGCACAGGCAAGAATTAGACAAGCCAGGCTGGGGCTGTAGCTCAGAGGCAGAGCGCTTTCCTAGCATGTGTGAGGCACTAAGTTCAATCCTTAGCATCACATGAAAAACTAAACAAATAAAGGCATGCTGTCCATCTACAACTATGAAAAAAAAGAAAGAAAGAATTAGGCAAGCCAAACAGGCAGGGGCAAACTATCGAGGGATTCTACATCCCAATATGGCACATTAGATCATAAGAACTAATGTTCAGGAAACCATTCAATCATGAAGAAAGGGGCTTAGGTCTCTTCCACATGCTTAGTTTAAGTAGGCAGGAAAGTATGAAGTCGATTTTAGAATTATTTTTATTTAAAATGGTTAATCTAAGAAAAGGTCTGGAACTTGAAGAAATTAACACCAACTGTTTATGTAGTACATGCTAGAACCCTTGGGGTTAGAGTGTTATTATACAAAAATTGATTGCTTTTTGGAAAGCAAGAAGGGCAGAGAAAGCCCACGAAGAACACAGAAGATGGGCTCTTGAAAGAGGTAGGAAATGTTACGGCTCCTGGAGATGCTCAGGAGAACCTTCCTCCTCTTCTGTTGGAGGCATCTGGTAAATCTCCCTAGGCCCGGGCACTGCTCAAGCTGGGGAAAAGTTTGTGTTTGATGTGGGAGGACAAGGCCATAATTTAAAACGGTGTCTGACTCAAAAACCAGAACCCTGTTGACCTACGAAGCTCTTTTGAGAAGACCTCTTCAGCAGGCTGCTAGCAAATCTCCTGTAAGTCTCTTTAGTCCCTGGCTCAGTTCTGACTAATTAAGCAGAGGGTGAAGAAAGTCTCCCAGATGTGTACTCTGAAGAGTTCCCATTTAACAACACTAATAACAATAAACCATGAATAATTAATGGATTGTTGCTGCAATTAGCAACATAAATACCAGCCTCCTGCTAACTGCTTCATGCTGCTTGTGGCATATGAAATAGAGACTAGGGTGCTTAGATGGCAGTCCAGAGGAGGGCCTGGGGGAAGGATGGAGCACTTCGCAGAAAAGGAGTTCCGAAGGGAAGCCAGGCGAGTGGATTGGGTAAGGTGGAACAGTGAATTCCACACCCAAAGAGGAAAACAAATATACCAGCAAGTGTTTAGGTGCTCTGAAGGGCACCAACGGTTAGAACACTATATACAGAGAAGGCACTAGAGGGAACTAAGGGGACACTACCTTCGAAGGGATTAGAGTTGTGCTTCCCCTATTTATGTTCACATTTATGTTTTCCATTTGCAGCTGGGATCTTGGACTATGATTTTTTTTCAACAGGAACATTTGAAAACAGACTCACAGAAAAAGGGAACAGGTAGATTCTCAACAGGAGTTGTTGAATGTATTGCCCACAGGAAACATTTTAACAGAAACCAGACAAGGGTATTTCTTCAAAATGAGGCTGTAGATAATGAACCTCAACACCAGGTTTGGGGCCTCAATAGGTTTTTCTGTTGTTGTTGTTGCTGTTTATTTGTTTGTTTTATTTTGTTTTGGCTAGATGCTAAGCATTGTTGGGAGGACCACCTATAGATCATTTCAAATAAGGTGAGGGGGTCTCCCCCACACCACTATCAGGACCACCATCAGTCTGCCCACGTAAAGGTGGGTTTCATTTGAAAGTGGACAGATGGACTTGAAGAATTTTTGGCCAACTGTGTGAAGATGAGGAATGCAGATTCTATCAGCCAACAGGACCTAACTCATCAAGGGCACATGATAAATAGCTGAGCATGTTGAAGGCAACTGCCCACAACCACCATCACACGGGCTTGATAGCAAGTCATTCTATCTCTAACCACAAAAACAGTCGGCCACACAGGCAGGCCCACTGGCAGCTCCCGCCACTCCATTCCCAGTTCCTCTCAGAGCACTTTCGGAACAACTCATCCACACAGCCAGTACTCACACACGGTGGTGCAGGTTGGGCCCACTTGGTACTTAGTGCCTGAAAGGGAAGCCAGAGCTGCAGCGGCATGCCTCGCCACGTCGTCCTGGGAAAGGAATCAGCAAAGTGAAGAAGAGTGAATCCTGAGGCCCACGATTGCCCAGCTGTCCTGCACTGGATGGTCTGGAAGAGTCTCGGCCCTCCCCCAATCTCCCCTTCCGGTCTCTTCTTTGTTACTTAACTAGACCCAAGATTGGACCATCAACTGAGGAAAGAGACCGGATTCCCCCAATCCTTCTCCACCACATCCCCAATTCTTCCATCCAGTCTGGGAAAGGAGGTAAAGAAAGATGGAGGTGGAAGAAGATCAGTAATAACTCTAAAAGCGTGGAAAACTGGAAAGCTGCATTCAGGCTCTCCAGAGGCCTGGCAAGCTGCTCAGCCCCTGTTAGAAACCAGTAAAGGTACTGAGGAACAAGAATGCCAAGAGTGCTTCAAGAGAAAATCCCTGAAGAACTGGATGCTCTAGAGTGGAAGTGGAGACAGGGCTGCCATATATAAAGAGGACCTGGGATAATTCATGCCTGACCATGAGCCTGGGTCCTCAGCCTGGAGGCTAGTGAGCTGGCTATGACCTGGGCAGAGGGGTGTGCTCAATCAGACCAGCCCAAAGGCTGTGTAGCCCTGCTCCTCCACTCCATCCCAAAATGTCCTCCCCAATTCTAGGGTGAATCACTGGGGGGCACAGAGCACCACTAGCTGTGATCTACACCCTCCTTCACTTCTTCATTAACTACAGTGAGGGGCCTCTCCCCCCTTGCACACCATAGTGGCAACCACAGTGCATGGCAGGCAGTGGGTATGACACCCTCCAGTCAGAAAAACAAGTGAGAAGGTAAGGCAGACTCCGGCGCAGTTCTTGGAGCTCACAGCAGGCCTAGAAGTAAGAGGCACGTTCTCCTGTCCCCAGTAGGTCTGATGGTACACCCCACAGGGCAGGAGAGAAGTCTAAGCTCTTTATGAAACCACCCAGGCTCCTGGACTTTCCTCTGAAGCTGTAGATCAGTCACCTTGGCAGCACCCAAAGGGTCAAGCAGGCCCAGGGCTGGGTGGAAAGCCACTGTCACTCACCAGCTCCTCAGCATCTGGGGCCTTCTTGACAGTGTATCCATAGGGATACATCAGCAGCTGTGAGTAGCTGTGCAGGTCGATGAAGCATCTGAAATTTCCATGCTTTTGAATGAAATCTACCACCGATTTCACCTCCACTTCAGAATTGGCATGGGGGCCGTGGTACACTTCAGAGCAAGGGTTATCACTGGCTCCCTCTCCTGTTGGGGGACATCCAACCAGAAATAGTAATCCATAGGCCACGAAAATAGAAATGAGGGCACTAAGCCCCAAGGAGGGGTGGGAGGTATTGGCAATGGGCAGCCAGATGCCCTAAAGAACCAGTCCATAGTATGTGCAGACTGCAAGGAGGAGGCCAGGGAGGGCGGTGGTGGGTATTAGATCTCCACGGCTGAGGAAAATTGTTGGGACTTCTTTAAATGGATACAGTTGACCTTATATTGTGCCAATAGCAGTTGTCATAAATAATTAATATCATGCTTGAGAATGAGTTGTAATTAATAAGTATTCTAGATAATTAATATGAATACCAATAAATAATGAAAATGACTCCATTTATTTTGGTGTCAACTTATTCTCTTGCTTCAGATCTTAATAGCCAACTGCTGCCAAAAATAATCTATTGTTGTGGCTAAAATCTCTTGGTTATTTGACAGGTACTTAGAAATATTGCCTTCTGTATTGCTTCCCAACACAGCTCCCTGAAGTATTTGGTGATTGTGCATGCGTATGAGCGCGTGTGTGTGTGTAACCACCCCAGTTATGGGAATATCTGGCTTAACTTTGATGCCTTCAGTTCCCGCATTGGTATCAGCTCCTTTCACTTTTCCCTAGTGATTTTTGTGGTTATTTCTGTGCAAGTAAATGAAGTCCATTAAAAACAAAACATCAGGACTGGAGTTGTACCTCAGTGGTAGAGCACTTGCCTAGCATGTATGAGGCACTGGGTTTGATCTTCAGCACCACATAAAAATTTTAAAAGTAAAATAAAGATATTGTATCCATCTGCAACTAAAAAATATTTTTAAAAATCAGTGTAGCTGTGAAATAGTATAAGATAACTAATTGGATTTGGAATTGGAAGGTGAGCTTAGATCTTAATTGTTTTTTATGAGTTGTACATGGACATAATGCCTTTATTTTGTTATGTGGTGCTAAAGATCGAATGCAGGGCCTCACACATGCTAGGTAAGCGCTCTGCCACTGAGTTACAGCCCTAAGATCCTAATTTTTATCAGCCATACAATCTATAGATTATCTCTGAGTTTCCATTGTCTTATTTCAGATAATAAAGTCTACCCACTAAGTTAAAAACAAGATATATGCGAGAGTACTTGGCACATATTTGATATTTTGTAGAGGATGGTTTTTAAAAATCTGGAACTCAGAACCCAGGTTACCTAATTCCCCTTCTCTCTCTCAACAGCATGCTGCTGAGGTTCATATTACATGTTAAGAATAACTGCTGGAATTTAATTTTCACAACATGATCTTGCCTATTAGGGTAATAGTGCTAATTGCTCCCTTGGATTCATACATCTAATATGAGAGTAGTTTTAAAATATCAGAATGTCAGTGTAGGGCCTGGAGTTGTAGCTGGTGGTAAAGCACTGCTTACCATATACAGGCCCTGCACACGAAAAAATAAAAAAAAAATTGGCATAATTATAATAACAATGCAAAGATACTCTGTCCCACTGTGCTCCCAGGAAGACAAAATGTATTCAATCATTCCTTTTCAAAATTACAATAAAATCTTTAAAACAAAACAAATAGAATATATCCACCTAGAGACCCTCAAAGAGGCTGCTAAGTCTGTCAGTGAATGGAACAATGGAACCAGAGTGGAATAGGCTCCCTCAACACCAGCTCAGAATCCCCGTGAACAGGCTCATCCCATGGCAGTGGGATCTGAAACTGTTCCCCCACCTACCTGCAAAACTCGCATTCCAGTTTCGATTTGGATCAGTGCCAACACAGCGGCTTCCAGGATTCAGGGACCGTGTCTTCCTCCATAATCGGTTCTGAAAAAGCCACCCAACACCCAGAGGTAGGTCAATCAACAGAAGCAGTGAAAGGCTTCTGGGAGACTAATATGGAGATGACCACAGTAGATGGGATGAGCTGCTTGCAGCTGGGCCTGAGGGAGCTCCAGTCCTCGCTATGGGGCAGTTTGCTCTCATCCCCTCCGACAGGAGGAGTTTGTACTTCTGGCTTTAAGAAAGGAATGGCCCTCAAAATCCCCTGATAAGAATTTTATATGCAAGAACCAAGTTGATGCCATCTGAATGCCCTGAATAATTATTGGCTTCAGTAGACATGGGACGCTCGGCCGTTACGTGCCTTGATGATCACCTATGCCTATTTTATTTTTGCTTTAAGAATCCACTGAATCTAGTCAAGCTCTGGGTTGGGGAATAAGGGAGTAAATTAAATGGCACAACAAAGAAGCCATCAGCCAAATTCAGAATGTGAGACATTATACAGGAAATTACTTAGTTTCTCCAACAAATGAATGACATTTTAAAAGGATGAGTGGGGGTGCTGATGTAGTATAAAAGGAACTGCAGCGACATGTAGATGCAACGTGCAGACCTTGTTGGATTCTGACTTCAACAAATTGACTCCTAAGAGACACTTTAAAGATAATTGGGGGTGTTAGATGATATTAAGGAACTTCCATTAATTTTTTAAAGGTGACAGTGGTGTAGTGGGTTTGGGGCTTTTTATTATTATTATCATCATCACCTAGAGATGCACACTAAAGTAGTTTTGGGTAAAATAACATGATATCTGAGATTTGCTTCAAATTACATCAAGAAAAAAATTGTGTGGGAGAAAAAAAGATGAATAAAAGATTGAGAAAATGTTGATAATAGATCAAGGCTCATAATAGGGAGTTCCTTAAACTATTCTCTCTATAAAAAATATATATTCCCTGGTGATTCTCGGCTCCGAGAATGACTAGAAGATGAATTCCCAAGGAAGCTCATAATACGCGCATTAGTAGAAGTGCTCTCTAAGGGTACTGGCAAAGCTAGGAACTCATTTCACTAAGTTTCACTCCAAGTTCAGCCCATTCGGGGTTACTCACTTGAGTGTGTGTGTACACATATCCATCAGGATTGGCCACAGGCAACAAGAAAATATCCACTTTCTCCAAGATGGAGGTCACAGCTGGATCCTCCCCATAATCAGACACAATCTAAGCAGAGACAAGGTGTTTGTCAGCTATACCTCAGCAGGCTGGATTACTAAGGTCCAATAGGGTATGTTCCTTAGAGGCCCAGTGCCCACCAAGAATGGATGCTTCTAGAACAGTGTCCACCCTCGAGGCTTCTTTGGTGTCTCCATGGGCATGGCTGTCTGTAAAAGCCCTCCGAGCTCCTCAAGACCTGGGGACATGGCTGCATGACAACATCAACTGCAGTGAATCCTGGGGTGCTCGCTTTGTTCATTCCCTCTGAGAGTGAGGGGGGGTCACACCATATCTTAAGAATTTGAGCCCCCATCGAAGGAGTAGGGAAGATATGACCTTCACATCCAGGCTTAAAACACTGTTGCCTACCAACACAAGCTTAAAACAGACTTCCTGGATGGATCTGGAGGCAGCTTGAAGTCCCTCCTAAGGGCTGTGCGACTTGGAGGGGCCGAAGGCAAAGTTCATTTGACTAGTGCTGAGTGTTTCTCTGCTCCCCTCGCAGGGCTGCAGAGGGTCAGAATCCCAGGCATACTCGTGGCTTATCGGCTTGCTCCCCACCATTTTGTCACTTAGCCAAACTGGGCTGATAAAGTGGTTTTAACCATTTACTTCTCCAATCTGAAAAGTCCCCAGCCTACTGGGGTGTACAGAGCACCTTCCTATCTCATCCCCAGGGCCCAGCTATGTGAGATGCTGCAGGGGCCCCTGGGGCCCACCAGAATCCTTGGCTAATACCAGACGACATGACCTTCCTCGCCGTCCAGATGGCAGTGGCCTGTGAGATCCACTCGCGGGAATGGATGCCTGCATTGAGCCAAATGGCCGGTCGCTGCTCGCCTCCTGTGCTGAACTGCAGAAGGGAAAAGAGGCCAGAAAATGACCCGCCTGCCCGCGTCTCCACTCACCTCTCCTCTCCCCAGCTCGCTCCTATTCATTTAATTCATTTAAGATAATTCAGAGACCAAATGTTCCTGAGGGCACCGTCTATTTATTGGGCTTATCCGTGACCAGGGAGCTTAATTGGTTGGCTGCAGCTCCGGGCAGCCTGAACCTCTCCAGTGTTGGGAGCAAATGGAAAAGAGAAACAATTGTTATTGTGGATTAGAATGCTGGTGCGATTAGAGATAATAGTATGTCTCTTGAAAGACCTCAAATGGTATCCCAACAGAGAGAGACACAAGGGTGCATGAACCAGGCTGTTTTGCTGATGCAATAAATGAATTCGGTTTTAAATTAGGAAGAAGAGGGCTTCACTATGGCTCTTTGTAAATGACAGTAATGAATTCTGGCTCCTGCCTTTGCCATAGTGTTGGGGCCCTGTGGGTCGGAGCTTGGTGCTAACGAAGCCAGGGTCTCCATCAGACCAGGCAAATAATCTAATTGTAATTATCTTAAAGAAACCAGCTCAGTGGCAGGTCTCCCTTCCCACTGATAGATAGCTTGCTAAAAACCTGGGTTCTTTGGGCTTATATGAAGCTAAGGGTTTGGCAAATTCTGAGCACCATCAGTTGTTCCATGGTTTATATGCCCAAATTCCTTTTTATTCATTCTGTAATTTATGTCATTGTCATAGTGCTCTACCTCCTTTGCCAATACAGACCTGTATCTGTTAGAAATATCTGGAAACTAGGCTTCGTGCAGCCAAGGATCAGAGCCTGGACTTAAAATTATACCCACCCTAAAATTAGCTTCCTAGGTTGCTTTTCCAATAAGTAGCCCTAAAAGCAGACTAGAACTCGTAGGTCCAAACCAACTTATCTTGCTGTTTACAGAAGGTGGGATTGAAGGCAAAGCTGCAGCCCTTCTGGGAGCTTTCTGGAATGCTAACCTCTCACCTTTGACTCTTTCAGTCAAAGCTTGGAACTTGAGCCCCCATCGAAGGAGTAGGGAAGATATGACCTCCATATCCAGGCTTAAAACACTGGATGTGCTCTTTCTACCTGGCCCACATTAGACAAAAACGTGTGACTCTGTCAGATCAAATTCTAGCCAGAGCAATCTCCCAGCCTCACTGTCCTTTGAAGGGCACAGGGGCCTCACCTTCAGGACATACATCGGCCGGTTTTCAAATGACTGTCCAATCTTCACCCTGCTTGCCAGGTCAGGGAAATCTGTGGCAATGTTGTCCATCTCTTGGTAAATCTGCAGTGTAGAAAAAGTGCACCCAAGGGCATTTTTAGAATTTGTTTAGCTGTCAGAGAACAAATCTGTCAACTTTATCTTATCAGTCTTCATGATTTTTTCTGAGCTCCTAACCTTGGGGTTGACCATATTATCCACCGGGAATGCTTATAGAGAGAACTGCCCAAAGAGTCGCTTTCTACAATTTTCTAGAGAATAACACATTTCATTTGTCCATGAAATTGTAGTTCACCCAACTAGAGTGGAGAGGCTTATATTAATAGCTCTTGCTGCAAAGTGTGGTACTCTGTGCCATCTTGGTCTGGAACGTCAGAGCAGCCCTGCCTGGTCAAAGTTATTCACAGCAGACCTCCCCAAACACGCGATCACTTTATCTACCAACAACAACAAAAATCAATTTAGCATGCACCATTTCCATATATGTACCAGCATAGAAATACATTACATAATTTTTTTTTTAAGTCACAGAGGTTGTAATAATTTATCCTTCATCCCAATGGGCCATCTTGCTTACTATACCCCACTTTGGATCTCTAAAGATTTAAAGATTTTCTAAAGATTTCACCAGAGTAAGTGATAGAGAGCTGTAAATAGTGGCTAAGAATACTCCCATATGCCTTCAGGGGAGAAAAAAATATTTGTTTTAAATAGAGTTGATCCATTTTATTTTCTTGAATCATTTGAAGGCCGAAAGAAGGAAATATACAAATGTGTTTAGTCAATAAGATTGGAAGAAGGAGATATACATAGGAGGAAAATGTTCAATCAACATTGAATCAAAACAAGCTTACAGGGTTTATGGAGTGGCAGTCAATATAGTAAATTGTGCAGAAGCAAGAAACCACCCTCGAAACACACAGGCAAGCTAGAAAGTACAGTGAAGGTGATTCACAGCCAGTTGAAACGCTCACAAAGGTGAAATTGTACATGCCAGAAATGAAGAGGGAATTAAATACCAAGGTGGAGGAGAGGAGAGGAGGCTTCAGGTGCTGGGGGATCACAGCCAATGAGGAAGAGAAGCAGAGGGCTTAGGACCCAGCATGGGGCAAGGAGCTAGGACTTCAAGCTGGAGACTGGCATATCTGATCACATAAAGGGCTTGGAAACTCTTCCCCCAGAGAGCAGAAGAAAAGCAGGGTGGCTGTCCTAGGCATGAGAGGAAAGAGATTTATCCAAGAAAAGTTACGACAATAAGATGTGTCCAGATGTGGGGTCCAAATTCATGCAGCCAGCCACTGCCACGACATACACACAGGATCTGGAACCAGAAAGCCTGACAGAGACAAAAGTGAAATTCCACCAGAGACCTAAGAAAGCCTAAGTGGTTGTAGGATGTGAGCTTTGCAAAGATGTTTTTTGAAAGAATTGAAACAGGAAGGCTATGGCAAACCTATCCGAAGCAAAAGGCCTCCCAGGGAGCGAACAATAGCTGAAAGTCAGACTGCAGGGCACCTAAAGCTAGAGAAACCAGAGGCAAAGTGGTTTGAGAAAGTGGAGCCTAGGCCTCCAGCAAGTGAGGGGATGGCCCCTCTGGATCCCTGGATGACATTTGCAACTGGTTAACGGGGCTAGAGAGGGCCCCACGTTAATGAGGCTAACGTCATGGGTTTGATCCCTGTGTGGGCCCTGAGCTCCACTTTTGTCCATGGCCTGAGACTGAACTCCTAACTTTATCCAGCTGTTTTGCAGATGTATGTCATTGGTCACAAGAGGGATCAAGGGGCAGTGTAGTTGGAATATACACAATAAACAAAGCTACTGACAATCATGGGAAAGAAGTGGAAATAGCTGGTCAACCTTTGAAATAATCCCTCATCTAGAAGAAAAACAACTTAAAGTATTTGTCTCGTGGAAAGCATGCAGGAACACCAGGTTTGCACATAAAGAATGACCCTTATTAGGGTGGATGAGGGAAAATACCGGTTTAGATTTGGGGTGTGTTCCTAGCAGAGTTTGCAGACTAATGAAGGAGATACCGGGGGACATAAAAGAACTACACCGTTCATTCAGTTCCATTCCATAGTCCCTCTTGATTTCTCAGGTTCCAATATCATATGAAATTATCTTGCTCCAAATTTTTCATTTGAAAGTTTGGCTTACCTTGAAAGTCAGACATCTATATAAAGTGGTTTCTAACTAAACACAGCACCAAAATGCATTATGGAACAAATATACATTATAAGTAGTCATGATGAATGAGTGGAAATATTTGGTTAACCTTGGAAATAACCACTTGTCTACTTGACTGGAATAAGTAACATTTTATTCTGGGTGAGGGATTATGGTGGGGGAGTAGGAGGTTGAATTACAAGGACTGGAAATGATTGCAATTATTTCATAGTTTTCTATAAGCGGTTGCTTAAGAAAAGAAGGATGTATGTGGAAAATAAGGTCCACTTTGTATTTCACCATTTTCTTCAGTGTTGGTAGGAGTTAAACAGCCCAAAGATTGGAAAGGAATTAAAGTATACAAGGACTGGAAATGAAAGCCCCTCCGTGAAGTGATATTGTGATGAAGACTAATACCTACTGGAAATTAGAAACCTGCTCTGAAATACTTACAGCTTCCAGAGTATGGTAAGCCCCATAGTTGAAGGTATTATTGCTCCGCTCTTGCCCTTCGTTATATTGCATTTCTTCATCTTCATTATCTAAAAGGGCCTGAAAACAGACACAGCAAAATGGTGAAGTCATCCATGGGAGACAGATCGTGTTTTTCCTACCATATCTTGGTACAGAGGCTGGCCAAGTTGATGGCTCCTTCCACACATCAAGCAGCACAAATGTCAAGGTTTAAAAGGGGATCGCATAGCTTAAATTATACAAAGTAAGGATTAAAGCACAGTGAAGTGTAAGTTCAAGCTGCCTACTTCTTAAAGAACTTGCATTCCTCATCACTACATAACGTGGTAATGCCAAATTTCTAAGGAGTTTAAATAAATTCTGAGAAAGTAGGACAACAGAATGACCAGTGTTCATTTTCACCTAAGATCTTCATTCTCTAATGTTCTTGGTTCATTTGAAACATTTCAATATACAAAAATACCGCAACATCAATGCCAGGAGAAAAGCCATCAGCGTGTGTACACTGGTCATCGTGATGAGTGTGGTATGATTTTGAAAAATGAACTATCATGCCCTTTAACCAAAAGTAAAAAAAGTGTGTGGGGGGGTCAGATTTCTTTCAAATATCTATAAAACTTTACTTCTCGGTGTCCAATTTAAGTCACCCCATTGAAAACCCACTTACTCCCTGGAAGCAACATATGTGCTACTGGGTTATTCTCTAGTATGAAATCTCTAGACATCAGCCTGCATCTGGTATCCAGTGCCTCTGAAATGCACAGCTTGGGAAACCATTCAGAAACAAAGAAATTCTTATAACCACTCATACTTTGAAGGTTCCTGGCAGATGTCTGTGACATGTGAGGATGATTAATAAGCTCACAGCTGCTCACGCCATCAGGAAACTCCCGGGCCAAATCACCAATTAGTCCATAACCCACCTCGGTGAAGGAGAGAGCATGAGCCAGACACAGTCCTGCTGTTCAACACAGGTCGTGGGGCTGCATGGTGATGTTCCCCCCACTGGGGACTACTGGGGACATTCTTGCCTTCTCACAAGGGCACTTCTTATGACTGGTCTCCAATATCCCCCACACCCACCTTGGCTCCTAACTTCAAATAAGAAAAGGGAGAGGGGCTTATTACTTACTGTGATGTGCCAGATACTGTCAGACACTTTGCATACATTTAACTAAAGAATCTTCCCAATAAACTACATGAAGTTAAGCGTCATTATTACCATTTTACTGATGAGGAAATGGAGGCTTGAGAGCATAAAAACTTGTTCAAAGACACAGCACTAGCAAAATTGTAATCTGGGGCCAGATCTCTCTGTTTCCCCGTCTACCACAATGCTATTCCTCTAACAAGTCACTGCGATTTACTTCCATTTATCTCAGTTTCATCATCTTTGAAATGATAAAGGATGACACAAGACCTTGAAATCTCTCAGATCCATTCTGGACTGGCCATTTGGTCCTATGCAAGACCAGTGAGAGGCCATGGCCTACCCACCTGCAGGTCATCAATTGTCACTGAGTACTCCAAGCCTTGGGACTTCAGGAAGGATTTGACTGGCTGTAGACTGATAGACGGAACCAGGACATCCACAGGCCGGCCCAAGGTAGAGGGAGAACTCCAAAAGTTGAGCTGAAGAGAACAGAAATAAAACCAGATTCAAGGACAATTCAAGTAAAACACACAGTAAGTTCATTCTTCTAGAACCAGTAGAAGGTAATCCCCGAGGAGCAGAGTTCTGCCCAAAGGCAAACATCACCCACATCACAACTGTATCAAATCAGACCACTCAGCGAACAGTACCTGGCAGAGTCCAAGAGATGGTAAGTCAGTGGCAGCAAGGAGGAGGGAGCCCAAGACTCAGGCCTCCTATTTTCCGGGACCACCCTGCTCTCACCTATAGCTCTTCTTACCCATCAACTTTCTTGATTGTCTAAATGGCCTGTCTACTAATACAAGGTTATACACGGAGAATCTTCCAGAATAAAAATAACATTGCCAGTAGTACAAGATTCCTCTCCCACCAAAGTTAAAACACTCACTCAAGGGGACTAAGAAGCAGCACATACCTTAAAGTTGTCCGAATTCACTAGTTGAGTCAGTTTGCTGACCTCGTCTCCATTTCTGACATTAATCCTAAAAACTTGGTCCCTGGAGAAAGAGGGGGGAAAAAAAGCCAAAGATAATGGGGAGCTTTCAACTGGCAAATAAACCCCAGCCCACTATCCCAGACAGAACTGGGCTGAACGAGAGGAAATGGTCTAGTCTTTGGTTATAATGTATAGCCATTAAAAATAAGACTACGTGGCAGATATAAAAAAGAGCTCATGGTATAACTTGAAGGGAAATATTAAGTGAAAGAGCAGGACACAAAACTGTACGTATGCCATGATTACAAGTATGGAAAAAGCAGATGCACTGGAAGAAAAACAGACAACGGAAATATCCCAAATGCTGACAGCGCTCAAGTTCGGGTCGTGGGATTATGGATGACTTACTTTTTTTCCCTAGTATCTGTTTTCTGTAATGTGGTCATATTACTTTATAATGAAAAACATATATATTTTTACAGAAGGGAATGTTCCTGAGTTACATGCAAAGCTAACTCAAGACATAAAGAAGCACTTCTTCACTGTCAGGGTGAGGGCTGAAACCCTGGTGGAACCTCCAGACTGGGAAGAGCTGGACGAGGGAGCAGAACCTCCATCCTGGGAGGCTGGGCTGTTGTCCTCTTAGAGAAGAGGGGGGAGGCTGGGTGCTCGGCCTTCCCCTCAGTCCCAGAGTCCAACACACACATGCTTCACAATGGAGCTGAATAGAGCTCAAGGTGTGAGGCTGAACTTGGGACTACTGCTGCCCACAGGGTCGGAGAGGGTCTAAAAGGGCCTGCCAGTCACAGCCCCCTTTGTCATTTGTCCTGCACTTATTTCGTATAGGTTATTTAGCTTCCGCAGCAGGGGCGGGAGAAGAGGCCCCAAAGTCCTGCGTGGGAGGGAGAAGGCTGGGGCTGAAAAGCTGCCTTTGTGTTCTCGGCCTGCTCGGGGAGCCAGGGGAGCCATTAGGCTGTTGCTAGGTGACGGACCAAATGAGTCCACACTCGACGCTGTCACATGCGTCATCCCTTTGACACGAGTGAATGCGGGAAGAGCGGCTGGAGAGGGCTGTGGGCTGAAGGACCTGTTGACAGAGTAAATGGCTCTGTCACGGGGAGCTAAACGTGCAGCCTCACGTGGCCACCCCTCACCAGAAAACCAGTTCAGTCCGGATGGACCCTCAGGGTTTTGCATGGTTCTAGAAAGTTCCGGGGGGCTCTTCGCGGGGGTCTTGGCCAGGCCCAAGGAGTCAAGACCCACTGCAGGTAGCTAGTTTGGAGAAGATGTCAGTGCCCGGGTTTTTTTTGTTTTCTCTCCCACCCTAGCCAGTCCCCACAGGGTCTTGGAGGTGGGCAGCTAACTGCTGCTGAGGGCCCTGGTAGAGAAGCCCTGGCTGGGCAGCTGTGTCTGAAGCTGCTAAGGCTTGGATATGGCTCAAGGGTGCAAGTGCTCAAAAACTGGTCCCAATTACAGTCCTGTGGTTGGGTGGTAGGAGCTAGCTTTAAGAGGTGGGGCTTACTGGGTACCCCAAAGGGATTAATGCTGATCTTACAGAGTTAGTCCCCAAGACAGTAAATTACTATACAATGAGTGGCCTGGCCTCTAACTCTGGCTTCTTGTCTTGCCATGTGACCTCCCTCTCACACATGCTCCAACTATGATGCCATCCACCATGCTATGATGCAGACAGGGGGACCCTACCAGAGACTGAACGAATAAGGTCACCCAATCTGGGATGTTCAGCCTCCAACACTGTGAGCCAAATAAACCTCTTTTCTTTACCCATTACCTAGCTTTGAGTATTTTGTTATAGCAACAGAAAATGGACTAATACAGAACCCATCAGGTTTGCTAAGAGTTGGACTACAGCCCTGGGAAGATGGAGAGTCAGACCAGCATTTCTCTGACACAGGCAAGAAACTTTGAAGGGGAAAAGGGGAAACAGGTTTAAATCAGAAGGGACTAAGATTAATCTGCTGAACTCATATTCTTTCATAACCTACCTCCAACACTCCAGAAAAAGTGGTATCTTAAAAGTGAGTATTCTAGAAAGAGCCTGTACATTGACCAAAATCTAGGCATTTATAAAACAACACTGGCTAGAGCAATCACAAAGAAGGAGGGGACAGAGAAGGAATGAGAAGAGAAAACAGAGAGAGACGTAAGAACAAGAACCAAGTCCACATCCCATTCCATCATCATCTCCTCCACCTGTCACTCTCGCCTTAGTATGCCTTTGCACACATTACTCCTTCTGCCCACAATCACAGTCTGTTTCCTATCTTTCTGGAAATCTCCTGCCTAGTCTTTAAGAGCAGCTCATATTATCCATGAAGCTTTCCCTAACCAGAGGAGGCAAAGTTAGGTATAGTCTTCAGACAGTGCTAGAAATTGGCAGTAATATTAGGATTTAACATTATCTTTATGAACATCAGTGCATCGATACCTAAAATCAGAGTGTGTGCCGTACAAAGGACAGTCATTCTTGCTCTCATTATCCTTGTCTATGGACAAAGATAATGTTCACTCCAGGTCATGAGAATGCAGATGGTTGAATCCTCCATTACCTGGACGTTCATTCAACCTTGACTGTGAGCTCTTTCTGGAGATGGAAGATTTGCCTGGGAGAGGGGACATGTTGGAGTTTGCAGGTTGCTGTGTCCACTCCTCCTCCATACTGGTGCTCTGATCCCTCTTACAATACCCAGGACCATCCAGCTGCTACCAACACCAGATTGAGGATGCCCTGCCACTTACCCTCACACTTGTCCCAAGTTCAGGACAGTCAATACAGGCAGTCGAGTGGCTTATTCTTTGTGTATCTCTCATCAATGTCCCTAGCCAGGCTTAGCAGCCACCATGAACAATATAGACATGATTTCCCAAAACTCTCAAGAGGACTGTGAGCTACTGCTGAAACTACAACCAGTTCTGCAACTACTTCCTGTTCTGTCCCTGCCCACACCTCCCAGCCACCTGGCCATTGTCCCAAACTTTAGATGACCAAAGACCAGGACAGAAGGTACCAGCAGTGCAAGAGAGACTGGTGGGTAGGAGAACCAAGTGAAAGGGAAGAAGATGGGTGGTGGGGAGAAACCATCATCCTCATCCCTAGCAGGCAGTCTCCGTCCTGGCTTCTAATTACAAATGCTTGGAGACCAGCTTGCCTATGCTCTAAATGTTCATTGAGCTGGATGACCAGGACATGTCAATGGACCCTAGGAAGGACTGCTGCTCCTTTTCTGGATTACTTACTATGGAGTGAGACTTTGGAGTTTTAACCAATAGATAACACAATAGTTAAAACCATCTGCAATCAGCTATTGGTTAAAACCATCTGCAATCAGCTCAGGTACACAGCTCTCTCTGTGCAAAACTCCTGCTGTGAGCAGTCTAGGCCCCGCTGTCTTAGCCCGGGTGCTCACTGCACCATAAGAAGGAACATATCCTGAGAAATAGAGATTTTCCAGCCACACGAATAGCTGCAGTGGGAACCTGACAGCTCCATGCGTCAGCCCACACAGCAGCAGGTGTAGTAATGACACATCTACTGCTGAGCTGCCTGTGGAAAAATCTCCTTCCCTGGCCACCTGCTACGCCTAACCCCCAAGCTATTTAGCAGTAGAGACACAGGTATCAACAGAGTCATAAAAATTACTCAATCTCATATAAGTAATTGCTTCAATAAACAACCCCAAAGTCTCTTTAACCAGGTAGTATAATAGAAAGTAAACTAATAGTTATAGATAGACCAGTGAGATAGAGGATTCTATTTGGAGATTAACTTATGTTATAGGAAAAAGGGTATGGGTTTTGCATGCCGAGTTCCAGCTCCCCTGCTTACCAGCTAAGTGGCCTTGGGCGGGTTCCTTAACCTTTCTAAGGCTGAGGTTTTTCATGTTTAAATGGAGGAAAATAACACCCCTGCCTTGCAGAGTTGTTGCATGATCCAAAAGATAATGTACATGAAAGCTCTTTGGAAATGGCAAAGCTTTTTGCAGTAATGAGTTATTATAAGGCAATCTTCTAGCAGGGCCCCACGGCATCTCTTTCATCTCTCCTACCTCCCAAATCTCCTCTCTGCAAACCTCCAAGCGTTGTGTGTGGAGCATGTTGAGCATATGTGCACACAAAAACTCACACACGTCGTACAGGTGTGGGTCCCTGCATGTCAATTTCCATAGCTGTGCCAGGAGCACCGGCTCTACAAAGTCTTCACTGTAAACAGAGAAGTGAGACCAAAAAGACTAAGACCCAGGTTTCCTCTTTAAGTGTGGTGGAAATCAGAAACAAACAATTTCTGGTCATTCTTTGTAATTAATAGTGTAGGAATGCTGGGTGCGGCGGCTCACACCTGTAATCCAGTAGCTCAGGAGGCTGAAGCAGGAGGATTGTGAGTTCAAAACTAGCCTCAGCAACTTAGTTCCTGGCTAAGGAACTTAGCCAGACTCTGCCTCAAAATAAAAAAATAAATAAAAGGGCTGGGGATGTTGCTCAGTGGTTAAGCCCCTCTGGTTCAGTTCCTATACCAGAATGATAAAAATACTAATAACAACAACAATAATGGTGTAGGAATAAGAAAATAGGGGATGCCTGAAACTGACCTTACAAATAAGAAGCAGAAAGAAAAGGAATTATCAGATTAGGGAGCTGGAGAGGGACTGTGGAGCCCAGTAGTTCTGATTTCAGAAGAAATCAGGCCTCAGATTGCCCTAATCCCCTTCCTCTTGAGGTAAATGACAAGCTATTCCTTTTCAATTCCATTTGGCCCTCATATTGCTGAAAAAAAATATAATAAGAAGTCCAAAAGGAACTTACCCAAAAAATTTTTCTCGGCCACACATGCTTGACCCAATAAGGGTCACAAAGAACAGTATCCACCTCATGTCCCAAAGTGACAGTCACATAGTAGTTGAGTCAGGCTGTATTTATAAGGAGCCCAGGGCAGACTCACATCCTCAAAAATGCTAATGTGATTCCCAAGCACCCCTGCAACTCTGACTGTGTGGCAGGCGGGTTCCTACCAATGCCTCCTCCATTCCTTTCGAGTGATAAAGGGCAGAGCCTCTTCATTTACAAGGTCAGAAACTTGCTCCACGGGCTGGAAAAGTCTGGGCCAAGGGTGCCATATTGCTCATCGCTTGGCATCTAAAGAGCATTTTTGAGTAAATAGAAAAGTCCCACGGAAGTGGTTAGAATTTATACTGACAAGAGAGTCCAGATGTCAACCTGGATGGAATTGCCTCTAGAGTTAAAAAGTGAAGAAAATCAAGTGACCCAGGCCAGTTCTGAGACCACACTTGACAAGTCCTTTCAGAAAATGTTCACCAGAGAATGTCATAATGAGAAGAGTTCATGGCCTCTTTTATAGACCTGAGGCTGAATTCTTGTGAGTCCCCTGAGAAAATAGAAAGATATGCGGTCGATGCTATAGAAAGGAAGTATTAATCTGAATAAATTATCATTTTCCCTTGGGATCTGAACAACAGGTAAGGTTTGATAAAATTATTAATAATAAAACTTTCTTGGGCTGGGGATCTGGCTCAAGCAGTAGCGCACTCGCCTGGCATGCGCAGCGCTGGGTTCGATCCTCAGCACCACATAAAAATAAAATAAAAAGATGTTGTGTCCACCGAAAACTAAAAAAAATATTAAAAAATTCTCTTTCTCTCTCTCTCTCTCTCTCTCTCTCTCTCTCTCTCAAAATAAAATAAAATAAAATAAAACTTTCTTAGGTTTTGCTAGTCTTTGACTCTGGTATCCTTTCTTTCAAGTCTCAATGGAATAAACGGAAGGCACTCATCATCTGAATGACTTCTTCATGGGCTCCGGGGCCTTTGGGTCTGTACCTACATTCCTAATTTCCCAAAGCCTTCCCAATCCCACCATCCCCATGGGCTAGATTCTTTCTGCATCTGCCCAAAGGTAGTGGATATAACCAAGAGTCATGGTTGGGAAATTATTCTGACCCTTGTTAAAAAGGTAAAGAAAGCTTTATTCAAGATTTTTGCTGTGGAGATCATGAATATTGCAATAGGAAAGTCTAACTGTGCTTAAGTCCAAAGACAGCAGAATGAAGGGATCAGCAGATGGGAAATCACTAAGAGGAAACATCAAGTCAGGGGGATTCTTTCGAAAGTGGCCTAACAAGAGTCATGCTAAAGGCAGGCCATAGACTTATACATCAATAGTGCGGGATGAATAACTTGATCAGATATCAAAGTGAGGGGATGACTTAGCAAGGTCTTTGCTAAGACTGGCTCTGACAGGGCCCAAGAACAAACCTAGTCAAAAAAGAGGACATCAAGAGTTGGGGTTGGGGTTCAGTGGTAAAGCGCTTGTCTAGCACATGTGATGCACTGAGTTCAATCCTCAGCACCACATAAAAATAAATAAATAAAATAAAGGTACTGTGTCCATCTACAACTAAAAATATTTTTTTAAAAAGACATCAATTCTAAAGCATGGTCCAAGAGAGAGCCTCCATCAGGAGTTGTGGAACTGAGGGCTTCTATCTTCTTTACCTATCTCAGGGCTGTTGTGTCCTCCTAACACCTAATTAAATTCCCTAACCCACTGAGTCCACAACAGAGGCTGGGCTGTACTTCACCAAGGTAGATTTCAGCTTTGAAGTTAGTAACAAGAGAAACTGAGGGATTGGGGCTGTAGCTCAGTGGCAGAGTGTTTGCCTAGCATGTATGAGGCACTGGGTTCCATCCTTAGCATCACATATAAATGAATGAATGAATAAATAAATAAATAAAAGTCTTCTGTCCATCTGCAATTGAAAAAAAAAATTTTTTAACCAGGCAAGCTGAAATTTATTTCCCACTTTTGTCTCCCAGGGAAAACCATCAGTATGAAGAAACTCTAAAACCCTAATGGAAGTGAATATCTGAAAAGAAATTGTGTGGAAGTTGAGACCCAAACTTGATGGGGCAATGGGAAAGAAGGAAAGGAGTGTCATGGCTTTGGGTCCCATCGGTTTTTATAAAACAGCATGCCAGAAATGGGAATGTACATGCACCTAGCACGATGCCTGGCATTTTGTAGTTGCTTAATTAGTATTTGTTGAAAAACTGAGCTCTAAAGTCTGCTGCTAGCTCTGAAATGAGGGGTTGATACATGCTAAGACACAGATGAACCTTAAAAACTTAGTGTTAAGTGAAATAAGACAGACACATGAGGAAAAATACTGTGATTTGTCCTTACAAACTGAATGTGAGGAGATTCCTAGAATAGACAAATTTATAAAGACAGAAAGTAAAATAATGGTCATGAAGGGCTGAAGAGAGAGGCTAACGGGGAGCCACCGTTTAAGGAGAACAGAGCTTCAGTCTGGGATAATAAAAAATTTCTGGAGATGGACGGCAATGACAGTGGAATAATATTGTAAATGTACTTAGTGCCACAGAATTGTACCCTTAAAAATAATCAAAACTTGGGGCTGGGGCTCAGCAGTAGAGCACTTATCTTGCATGTGTGAGGCCCTGGGTTCGATTCTCAGTACCACATAAATAAAATAAAAAGGTACTGTGTCCACCTACAACTAAAAAAAATATTTAAAAAAAATAATAATCAGGGGCTGGGGTTGTGACTCAGTGGTAGAGCGCTTGGCTAGCATGTGTGAGGCACTGGGTTCGATTTTCAGCACCACATAAAACAAAGAACTAAATAATGGTCCATCAATAACTAATAAAAACATTTAAATAATAATAATAACAACTACTAAATTTTATGTTATATATAACTAATTAAAAAAACTTCAAGGATGTTTGGAAGATTTCTCTTAGGACAAATTAAAGAAAAAGACAAAGGCAAGGTGCTTACAGTGTAGTGGATTGCTATGTTTTAGGGCAGAGAAAACTGAAGAAATGGGTACTGAGGATGTGGCCACTGGTACAGCACTTGCCTAGCATGTGCAAGGCCCTGGGTTTGACCCCCAGGCCTGCAAAAAAGAAAAGAAAAAAGAAAGAAAGAAATTGAAGAAATGAAGCACCTACATTAGTATTAGAAAAAGGAATGGTCACAACCCAATTTTGCTTTAAACCAAAGAGATTTTAATGGTGTTTGTCTATTCCACAATTCCCTAATATGGGTGGTCTCGCACGTGCTCCATGATTGTCTTCAAGCCAAGCCAGGTCTCTTCAGCTGTGGGCAAGATCTGCTTGGCCGGCAGGAGGAAACCATAGCGGCCTGTGTCTCTCAGTTCAAAGGCAAATGAGTATTTGATGCCAGAGTCATAGGACCAGTCAATGCTTCCACCACTGGCTTGGTCTAAAGGGCAAATAAGAATAAGGACTGGTTATGCTATTCCCACTGACCTCTACATAACCTCTATATTCAGTTCCACCATGATCAAAGGTAAATCAGACCCCCATATGCATGGGTTGCAGGAGCAGGCATAGTTCAGCAGAGGCTCATGCCCACAGAATACACAAGAATACTTTGAAAAGCAAAAGGTGTTATTCCAATGAACACAGTACTTAGTCTTCCTCTGGTGTTCTTAGGAGCCTCTGGCTTTACCCACCCATTTGGAATCTTGCCTGATGCCCTAATTGGCATCTTCCCCAGGTTAGGGAGGCCACACCACTTCCTTCTTTAGAAGGTACAGGCATTGTTTCCTGTAGTGGTAGAGCAGGAGTTATGGAGTAAGAGATTTGGTCCCTGTCCTTACGAGACTCTCAGCATAAGGAGGGTGCAGGCTCTGCTACAGTGTGAAATCATATGTGCAGCCTCCCTGCTGATGGGCTAAGTCAGCACAGTCATGTGCACCTGAGACATGTGTGGCCACTGACATGACAGATGATGAAGGCGGATGGCATGAGCCTAGGAAGATTCAAGGCAATCAGACTCGGTAGAACTAAGCAATGGGCTGGTCCTGAGGCCCTGCCCAGGGAGGGCAAGTAGAGGACAAATGGAGGATATGGTTGTGGCAGAGATGAAGGAAGCCACCCAGCCCTAAAACAGGACTGGGAACATCAAGGAAATTGTACCAGGAAAGAGTAGGACTAGAGGTTAATATTGTGAATTGCCAAGTTGAACATCCCTTATCCAAAATGCTTGGGATCAGAAGTGTTTTAGATTTTGGATTTTGGAATATTTCATATATGTAATGAGGTTATCTTGGAGATGAGGCCCAAGTCTAAACACAAAATTCACTTGTTGCATATATATCTCACACATGTATCTTAACGGTCATTTTATATAATGTTTTTAGTGCACCTGCCTTTTGACTAGGATCTGCCACATGAGGTCAGGTGTGGAATTTTCCACTTGTAGCATCAGGTTAATGTTCAAAAAGTTTTTGATTTGGGGACATTCCAGATTTTGGATTTTCAGATTAGGGATGTTCAACCTGTAATTCTGAGAAATTCTTGTGCACTTGTCAGCCACAACAGCTAGTATAGTGCCTGATGAATAACAAATACTTAATGGTTGCTGACTTGGACTGATTCTTCCCAGGGTACCAAAATTACTAATCTATACCTCTGATGTGGCTATATGATACAATCATCCCATAAGGGGTCCATAGAAGATAGAGTATTAGTTTCAGATTGAATACTAACCCTCAATGATTAGCTGGTGACCTAAGGCCAAGATGCTTCATCTGTCAAATAAGGATGATATACCATGTATTTCACAGGGCAGTAAGAATTAAATGTAATAATGTAATGGCTATGATTACAACACTGAGTGCTCACTAAATGTGTTAGGGTGTTAAATTACCTTATTTAATCTATACCTTAGTCCTGAAGTAGTTACTAGCATTGTACCTATTGTACAGATGAGGAAATTGAGGTTCAGATGAGTTATAATGTAGGTAGAATAGGCATCCAATAAATGTCAGTCATAACAAGCATTATCAATAAATGACTAGGATCTTGTCAACTTAGACCACATTAAGGATCAAAGGCATCTGGAGGATAGTAGGTGGCTGCTTTAGAGTTGGTGAACACTTAATTCTATATATTATCTTTTGAGTCTCTTGACAATTCATTTCACAGATTAAAAAGCCCAGGGAGGGTGAGTGACTAGCCCAAGGTGACTTGGTTCCAAAGTGGCAGTTTTAGCTCAGATCCAGGCTTCTTCTGGCTGTGCTTTCCCCACTACATCTCCCTGGGAAATAACTCAAGGATACCTTCTCCTGGACCAAGCACTCATCACAGCACAAAGCCCTTTCCAGGTGGGAAACTTTCTCACCCAGAACACACATGAAGTCACCTCCTAGATGGAGAGAAGCAGACGTTTCAGGTCAGAAGTGAACCTAGGCAGGAGGCAAGAAGAACCTAACTGGGACTGGTTCTTAGAGGCAGGGCTTGTCCAAGGTATGAAGAAGCAGGATAATACAGTCAGTTCTGGACAAATTTGCAGCTAGAACTTGCATTAATGATGATCCAGTCTTCAAAGATCACACAGCAAATCTACATTTGTCTGATATTTGCTTATCAGAAATGTCTTCAATATCTGTGTCCTCACCAAGAAAGAAAGTACACTAAACCTCAGCCTTCCAAATTCTACATTATTTGTAAATACTTCCAGACAAAGTATATTCCTTATAATAAAATGGCTAAGATTCAGGAGGAGGTTTCAGGGGTACACAATGTCCTTCTTCTGACATTCCAAACTTCAGCCTCCATTCATTCAGAGGCTGCCAACCAGACGAAGGTATGTGCTCCTCAGCCTTAAGCTGCCATCATCATCTCAAGCTAGGTCCACTTCTCTGTGCCCATTGCCACCACTCAGAGGGCTCTCCTCCTTGGAGATGGCCCTGATAAAGGTCGGGACAAGCCCACATGGTTAAAAGAGGTCTCAGCAAGTCAGGCATGGTGGTATGCGGCTGTAGTCTTAGCTACTTGGAAGGCTGAGGCAGAAGGGTCACTGAGCCAGGAGATGGAGATCAGTCAGCGCAATGTAATGAGATCCTGTCTCCATAAAAAGGTATCAGCAACTTTTGCAAATCAGTCTTCTCAGAACACAGCCTAATACACTCTCTCTCTCTCTCTCTCTCTCTCTCTCTCTCACACACACACACACACACACACACACTCCAAAGCTTTTCATTCTGTTTGATTTGATAATCTTGCTTCAGGAATGTCCCCAAAAGATCATCTAATAACAAAAGGAATTAAAAAAAAAAAACAGGTTCATGGTAACACTATTTGACAAAATATTAAAACAATTCAAGGGCCCAGTAGCCAGGATTTAGCCATATAGTGGAATAAGAAATATCTAGAATGCAAATACATAAAATTCTATAGGAAATGATACTAACTTTAAATAGCTGAACACAAAATACAGCAGACATGGATTCTAACTAGATAAATACATTTGATTGACAAAAAAAAAAAGATCATAAAGTTTATTAAATGTATCATAAATCACAAAGAAAAAATTTCAAAATACTCAAAAAAGAAAAGCTTTCACCGGGCATGGTGGCACATGCCTGTAATCCCAGGGACTCAGTAGACTAAAGTAAGAAGATTGCAAATTCAAAGCCAACCTCGACAACTTAGCAAGGTCCTAAGCAACTTAGCAAGACCCTGTCTCAAAATAAAACATATAAAGGGCTGGGCATATAGTTCAGTGGTAAACCACTGCTGGATTCCATCCCTAGTACCAAAAAAGAGAGAAGCTTTCATGGCATGTAATATTATCAGATCATTAGTTTCTGCATTTCCATGAAGGGCTCTGAATATAGTAAATATCACTCTTTTGCTCTCCAAAACTCCCACTGAAAGCACCATGATTAGACTAAAGATGTATTTCCAGTGTTGAAAAAAAATTAAAAACTCACAAGTAGCAAGTGAGCCTTCCTGCAGATCCCCACCCCATCCTATGACTGTAGCTGTTCCTCTTGCTCCAGCCTGATGGACCACCTGGGCTGCCTCTGATTACCCCTTCTTACCCCTCCTCTGCAATCACTCTGCATAAGTCATTTCTCCTCCCTCCTGTGTCTTCCACCTTTCCTTCTCTATTGGTTCTTTCCCCACAGTCAATAAATATATTTCTTGTCTGAGGGGGAAAAAAATAAAGCCTTCCAAAGCCTTCCATTCTTCTCTCTCTCTCTGTCTCTGTCTCTGTCTCTCTCTCTCTCTCTCTCTCCCCCCCTCCCCGCCCCTTCTCATCCATTCTTCGGAGACTGCTCTGGTTAAGGTCACCAATAAACTAGTGATGAAAATTCAATGGAAAATGTTCTGTCCTCATCTAAATTGACCTTTTCATGGCCTTTTTCATTTTAACCACTGCCTCCTCTGCTTGCTCCTTCCCTGGTTTCTGAAATCTAGGATTCTCAGCCTCTCTGCCTGGACTTCCTGCTGCCTCAAACCTTGCTCCCCCTCTCCTCTCAGCTCTCTTTCCACTCCAACTATCTCTGTTTTCCTCTTCTAACCATGCTTTCTATGCCGACCCGTCCCAAATCAATCTCTCTCTCTCTCTCTCTCTCTCTCTCTCTCTCTCTCTCTCTCTCTCATCACAGGGCCATGTTATCCAGGATTGTTCCACCTGAATCCCCTACAACTATGTCAAGCTCGACATGTCGACAATTGAATAATGTAATCTTTCTAGCCCCACCCCACCCCCTTTTACCCTCTTGGGTACCATTCAATGACCTTTAGTGAGAAACCCTCCACATCCAATAAGCAACAAGAGTTGCTTTACTTCCCAAATCCTGTCCATCCTCAGTAGATGGCTCTAGTTTGGGAACTCTTCCTGTTCCCCTGGGGCAGATGTCCCTACTTCCTGTTCACCATCACTCCGGTCTCTACATTGCTGCTGTGTTCTGCCTAATTCTGCATGAGAGTGAGCTATAAGGAACTGGACAGTGTAGGAGGGTGCAAAAAAACTCAGATGCTTAGAAAGTTCTTCATTCTAGATATTACATAGTAAGTATCTCATGGAGGAGACCAGACTTACTGAAGGAAACTGGGTAAGGTTCGGTTCTATGCATGAAGTCCTATCCCTTTCACATCTAGGCATTTAAGAGCTTTGACCCAAGCTCACGTGGTGTCTGCCATCTTAGTGACTTCTTACTAACTTCCAGCACAACAGATACTTACAGATGACTGAGCAAATTGGTCCCACTTTATACTTGGTGCCATGCAGGCTTGTCACAGACTGGGCAGCCTTTTGGGCCAGTTCATCCTGTATATTGATAAAACCAAATAAAGGTGACTGGATAACACTTGCAACCTTGGAAATTGGTTGCCCAATAGCAGAATATAGACCAGGGAGTTCTTTTTTGTTTCAACCATTTTTCATTGAGAAGTGAGCACAAGAATACTTCTATTGGCTTTGAAATACAACATGAAGACCTTCATTGTTTACTTGGTCATCCGGGTTTTTGCAATATTCCAGGGTTCATTATTTTGCCACTATTCACCCTGTTCAGAAGTGTGGATGGAAACAGGGTACATGTAAGGGGACTAAATAAAATGTATACTGACCCCAGAATGTACCCAGAAAGTTGGTTTTTTTTTTCTTACTGGATCTCTACATTGGCTTATTTCCCTGTGATTGTCTCTTTTTCCAAGAAGTAGAGCTCAGCAAAATATTTTCCGTTACTTGAGGGTTCCAATTTTGACTGATTGAGGCTTTACTGTCCTTGCTAAGGATAAATGTAAGGTCTTGAACTTGGGTCCAGGAAAACAACTGTACAATTACCAGATGGGGGAAACCTGGCTCAGCTGAAGCCTGGGAGAGCCTGGGGGTTTCAGCTGTCAATGAGCCCAACATGAGTCAACTGCACGGTGTTACTGCCAAAAAACTAATGTGACCCTCAACTGTATTAGCAGAGTGCACGGTCCAGATGACGGAAGTTCCGGCCATGCTCTGCTCTGCACTGGTTAACCTGCAACATGAGTTCACATTCATTTCTAGGAGCTACCTTGAAGAACACAGACAAACCAAAGGATGTTAAGAAAACTGTAATAAGAATGGTGAGAGAACCTGGGCCCATATTGTGAGTGCTTAATGGAACTGATATTATTTTGGAGGTTATCCCTATCTTAAAGACCTAAGAGAAGAAGGTCAGTGGTCTTGAAGTAATTAATGCATTCACATTCCAAAGAGAAATAAACTTGCTCAATAAAGCCAAATGATAAACCAGGGCTGGTAGGGGGGAAAACAGAGGAAGAAGGTTTTCCTTCCCTACGAGGAAGAACTTTAACTATCAAACCTGCTTGCAACATGGAATCAGCCCCCTTAGAGGCAGGAAGTCATCTAAGTGTAGACTAGATGACTATCTGGTAGACATTTGAGGACCAGGTTTGAATAATTTAAGGTTATCTCGGTCGATTAAAAGTTCATCCTAGATTCCTTCCAACCTTGACACTCTTTTTTCCTGATTTGACTTTGAATGGTAAGAGTCACCATCAAAACCCTGACAGAGCCAAAATCCAACTAATGAGATGAAATATATGAGATATATCTGATGAATATAATGAGATATATCTAAATTGAAATAATCTATCCCATTTCTGTCTGGGGCTGCTGACAATAATCTATTTGAAGGTAATTTGTCCAAAAGGTCCCAATTCTGGACTTATCCCTAACATATGGGTTTCAAAAACCAAGTCTGAAAGCCAAATTGGAAATATCTGCACATTCTCTTCAGCATGGGATAGCTGTTGCTCAATTGCAAACAGTCTCCTGAGATGTCGCCATCTGACCTAAGGCTGCCGCCAATTTGCTTATTCCTGAAACAGGAAATATGACAGAAGGAATCAAGTTAGGGAATGAATGTTTTAAACTCAGTGCATCATCATAACAGGTCATAAAGTCAAAGGTCCCAGAAAAGTATTAGGAGAGTTTTGGGGAGCAAGGTTGCTTAGTATAGAGCATCTGTTCACCACTTCAAGAGCCTCAGATCTAAATTCAAGTGGGTTTTGGCCAGGTACAACTCAGGAGCCTGAGGCAGGAGGATCACAAGTTCAAAACCAGCCTCAGCAACTTAGCAAGACCTTCAGCAACTTATGAAACCCTGTTTCAAGATTTTAAAAAAATAAAATAAAAAGGACTGGGGATGTAGCTCAGTGGTAAAGCACCCCTGGGGGTTCAATGTCCAGTACTAAAATAAATAAATAAATAATAACTCCAAGTGTTTTTTGTCCGTAGGCAACAGAAAAGCACATCCTTATAACCCACGGTCAAATGAGGCTCCTGCTCATCTGGATTAAGGCAACAACATTTTCATGAATTCTATTTTCCAAGGAAACTTAGTTTAGGAAACTAAACCTTTGGTTGATCACAATCTTCTTAATTCCTGGACTTAACATCTATCATTTCCTTAACCTGTCATTAGTACACCTCCACCTCAGTGCCTAACTTCATGATTGACACTTATTTGTCCATACAACTGATGTTGTAGCTGAGCTAAAATGAAGTTGAAAAAAACTCACCAGTTCATCAAAGTTATCTGACTTGGTACATTTGTACCCATAAGGGTACATGAGCAGCTGCGAATAGCTATGGAGGGTAATGAAGGCTTTGAATTCCCCATGACTCTTGATGAAGTCCACTATGGATTTCACTTCAACTTCAGAGTTGGCCCTGGGTCCACGGTATGAATCGGAGCAAGGACTGCTACTGGCTCCAGGTCCTGGTGGGATGCAGGAGAAGCCCAGTGAGGACAATAAGCTTTATGAAAACACCACAGGAAGGAAGGGACCACGCACATCACTAAGTTTCTCCTCTGGAAACCAGAATCATTATGTTTGATCAAGACGTTTCCTAAGGGCATAGACAGGAAGCCCAACTGAGGAGATTCCGCACACATCTCTTCTTTAAAAAATATGGTTCCTCTATATGGCAGAAAGAGCTATCAAATTAGATCATCTCCTCTCTGTGGGAGTTGTTGGAAGAAAAGCTCGATTTAATATTATAGATGGAATTCCTGCATTGGGTGGGAGTTTTAGCAAATTCTTTTTCTGGGATCTTTTCCAATTTGTAGAATCCAAGAGCAAAAGATTCTATGCATCTGTACTTCCAAGTCACAAAGCCACAAAGGCAAAAAAGCCTCTGACACCCTTTCTGCCATGAGGAAATCATAACTACACTTGACCACAAGGCCACCTTTGGCCTTGACTCCCTCAGCAACCAGAGTTGCTCAAGAACACTGAGGTGGGGTTATGGCAGGGGCTCTGAATGCTAAAGAATCTCTTAGAGAGCAGGTAAGAGTTGAGATTCCCCAGACTAAGTGACATGGGTGAAATGTAAACAAGCCTCTGTCATCTTGAGTTTAAATTATTTAATAAGAATAACATTTTAGGGAGGAAAAACACTGGCATTGAAATGCTGGGAACTGTTCAATATTTTGGGTCTGGTGCTTTGATTATTTTCCCCCTATGCAAAAAAAAATGAATAAATAAATTGCAAAAGCGATGAATGAAGTTGCAACTCATCCATATGCTGTCACAATCCCCTAGCGGGTCCTGTCTCTATTCCATGACTCTCATTAATTCATTTGTTTTACAAATATTTAACGATTGCCTTCCATGTGGCAAATTCTGTGCTAGGTGTTAGGAATACTAGTGAGAAAAAGACAGAGCTCCTAACCGCACTGTTATTGTGGGCTCCTGAGGAGAAACCAAACAAATTTCAGTTCTGTGATTACAAAAGCATAAGGAGGTTTAACCAGTACCTAAAAGCATAAAGGAGCCCCAAACAGCCTGCCACTGAACTCCAAAACATAAGAGCTGCAAGCCAGCAACAAGCTAATATTTTACTTTGAATCTATTTCGAAAATCAATGTCTTAATCCTATTTGTACTTATTTTTAAGTTTTCCTTCTCGAAGCATCTATAGATGATGTAATGCTTCTCCTCGGAATAGATCCTAACCCCCTCTAGTGGCTGGTTCAGGGCTTCCTGAGCTCCCGCCATTGTGCAAAGTCTTGCTCTGGCAGCTCGGAAGCTGAACAGGGCTACAGCTTGTGGGAAAACCAAGATGTGAGACAAAATATATTAAATGCTGCTCAGAGCACTGTGACAGCACTGCGCTCCTGTGAAGGGAATTTAGTAAAGTGTTTTTCGAAGAGGTTTTTAAATGGCTTGAATCCTAAATGGGCTTAGCAGGCTGACGCACTGCAGAGCTCTGCAAACCAGCTAGTTAGCCAGACAGCAATCTAACCCATCCGTAGGGGCAAGTCCCTGCGCTCACCTCCAAAACCTGCATCCCAGTTTCGGTTAGGGTCTACACCGACACACAGGCTTCCAGAGACCTTGGACCGGGTCTTTCGCCACATCCGATTCTTTAAAATCCGACCCAAAAAGAATTACAGAAAAAAGAAAAACCGGTCATTCACCCTGATGAGAAGGTCCCTTCAGAATGCAGTTCATCCCTACTGCGCCCTCCCAGGAGGGTCTCTGTGCAATCGCACTGACTTCTCTTGCCCCGGAGGTGTTGGAATAGTTCCGCTCGGAATAACCCCCATCTCCTCAAATAAACATCTGCCAAACCACGTTCCATAAAACACTAGTTTTATTCAGTGCTAATCACCACCACAACAAAAAGCAAGGGAAAGAGAGTTCTGTGGTCGAATATTTGGGGGAAAGATGGGGCTAAATTGGTGAATTTACTTAAGAACTTTTAAGGATTTTTAATGCTTTCATGTTGTATATGCACCACTCAAAAGGATAGAGTGGGCGGCATTTCCTAGGTTCCATGGAACCCTTTATTCTTGCGATATCTCAAGGGATGAGGACCAGTTGCTAGGACGAGTTTCTTTGAAAGCGCTACCATCGTCATCAGCTCGCTACAAGAATAAACTGGAGGCTCTGATTCATTTCGGACGTATCTGGGGTCACGACTGCCACAATGGTGTTTTGTAATGAGATTTTCAAGGGGGGAAAACCTACAAAACTCCTTTTAGTGATATTACAGAGGATTTCTGCCACAGATGGTAAAAATGCTGGGATGCATTGTACTGCTACCTAAATCTTACCGCAATCTAATTGTCAGCAGGTAACATCCGCCTTCTCTTTTCTATCAATCCCACCACAAAAAAAAGAAAAAAAAAAAAAACCGCAGAGATAATTGGAACAAATCTCCTAGGTGACTCACTGGTGAACACTGAGCTCTAATAGCCCAGACTAACGGCTGAAATGGGCTCTGGCTGAGGCGACAAGTGAAGACATCATGTGTTGGAATAAGAAGTGATTATAAACATTTCTCTGTGCCTCCTTTCAGGGCCACTACTGAGAGATTAGGCATTCTGTTTAGAGTAAGTCGAGAACACAAAGATTACTTTTATTTGGTTTTTGAAGTTCCTACACATCTCCTTAAAGTCTTTGTGGAAGAAGAAAAAAAGTTCAGGCTTACTTGGGTTTGAGAGAACACATATCCATCGGGGTTTGTGACTGGCAGCAGGAAGATGTCCATGGTGTCCAAAATGGAGGTGATGGATGGATCATTTCCATAATCAGAGGCAATCTGAGCAGAGAACAAGTGCCATATCAACCTCACAGTCCCTCTCTTTTGACCAGGGGACTCAGGACAGAATATTAAGGCAATATTTTTTTACAAATGTGACCTAAGGACCACTGTTGACCAATGAGAATTTTCCCAAGTCTACTGCAGCCCAGTTTCCTGTGGTGTTAATATGTTTTAATATGCTCATGTCTATATTTTCATTTCTGGTCAAAATAATTTACTTGAATTAAGTAAAAATCAGTTATCATGTGCTCATTCTCCCTCAAAAGCAGCAGCTTTCTTCCTATGAATTCTGGTGATGCACGCTGCAACAGTGAGCAATGGTATATGTGGCTTATGTGGGTATGAACCAAAGAAAAAAATTTAAATATTCCTTAGTCCTCACACAGTATAGCATTCCAAAAGAACTCAGGACCAACATCAAATTACTTAAATATGTGGCAACTTTGTTAAAGATCCAGAGAACCGGTTAAATTTCATTTGGGGAATTACATTTTTACTTGCAATCAATTGCAGTAGAGTTGAAGTTTCTGCGGGATTAAAATTTATTCATTTCCTGTGCTCAGCCATCCTAAGGCATTATTATTCAACTGTTAAATATCCATTTCATAATACCCTAAAGGTAACCGCATTTTAATTGAAGGGAAAAATGTATCAATTGGTATGCACGTGGTTGCACATGCTTGAATGATCTGATGTGGATTGATTTCCTTTGCTCATGAATTAACATTCTGATTTATAGCATGTCATTTTTGAATTACTTAAGAAATACCAGACTAGGTCACACCCAGCCCCGTGTCCTGACTCTCATGCCAACAAACATGTGGAAGAGAGATATTGCTACATCCTGGCTTCAAAATCAGATTTGGGAAATTTTCAGAACAAACCCAAACACCCTTAACTAATTTCAATTTGGATCTCTAGGTCAAAGTCAACTCATTTTACACCTGTTTCTATTTTCTGTCTGAGCCCCCTTCACGATTTTAGATATCTCCAGCACATCAAGCCTCAACCTTAAGAAGCAGCAAAGTATTTTTCTCTAATCTGTTCTTTTGCTGAAACCTGACTCCGGCCCTTACTTGCCCACTCCTTGGATCCCCTCGGGTTTGCTGTATCTTTTAAGGAGGGTATAGTAGCAGACCCAGGGGCACAAAGCCATGGCCCTGGATGGGGCAATATCAAAAAAGATTGGATGGATCTGTTTCCTGTCTATGTGGCAAGAGAAGGGCTCGGCAATAACTCAAGCAGGGACCACAGGGACTATTGTGTACTGGCTTGTGGGCCTGAGCCCAGAAAATCAAAATAAGAGGAATTTTAGGCAAAATGACCTTATTTGCTATCCACAGTGCAGTAGCTTGTGTAACCCACTCTCGAGCATGGATCCCAGCGTCTAGCCAGATGGCTGGCTTGTCTCCTCCGGTGCTGAACTGCAAAACACGAGTGGCAACGTGAATGGCTCTGCCTCTATGAGCACCTCGTCCCCTCTGCTCCCCCTGCAACCTCCTCCTTCTCTTGTCCCCTTTCTGTTATTGATGTGCTTAAGAGAGGAGAAGGAGATGCAAACAGTGTGCTGAGGATTAACTCTTCTCACTTAAGATTTTTTGTTTGGGTTTGGTTTTAGTTTTTTGGTAGCTTTCTTTTGACATAAACTTAAATACAAGATGGGTCTAGACTTCCTCCCTTGATGTTTGTAAAAACGTAGTTGCAGATAACGTAATGACATGAAAATGTGTTCATAGGTTTCAAATTGGGGAAAAACCAAGTTACAGAATAGTATATAATTTTATTTTTAAAAAGACTAATTCATATAAATATGTGTGTTCATACACATGCGTATGAGAAAAAAGGAGGGGAGAGGGAGAGAAAAGAGAAAGAAATAGAAAAAAAATGTTTATAAATAGTTGTGAAAGTAGAATTACAAGGATTTTTGTTTTCCTTTTGTTTTATTTTCCAAATTTATGCAAGGATTGTATTATGAAAATGCTCATGATAACCTTTTGAGTCCTTCATAAAATCAGGACAGGCAGGTTCTGTAGGTGCTTTCCAGAGTTTAAATTTTATGATCTAAGTGACTTAGTTTTATTTGGAACAGTGGCTTTGCCAATTGGATCAGTAAATGGGAAGGAAAAGATTATTTTTGCACCATCAACTTCTATCTCTGTGCAGCATCCTAAACATAGCAGATAAGGTAAATGAAAAATGCAAATCCTTACTACAAAAATTACATTTCACAGGTTTTGAGAGTTTTAGCTGAAAGTGTTCTGTGACTTTTCCTTCAAAGAGCTCAAGTGTAAAAAGCAGGGAACTTTGAAAAAGGCTGAACAGGACCACCTGGAAAAGGGAAGACCAAGAATATCCAAGGCGGATGAGAAATCTGGGGTTTCCTGACCCAGTTGGAGACACAGGTAGAAAAACGAAAAAGAAGGGAGGGTAGTAAACTTTAGCAGCAGTACCCCGCGTTTTAAGTAGGCAAACCGCTCCTCCCAGGCCTGCTTTGGGAAAACCGCTCTGGGGAAATCCATCTGTCCCAGTTAGTCAGTTGGTTCCCAGCCATAACGTTTCCAAATTTAGCAGGGAGTTGTGACATTTAGCCCCTTCCACCCAACCAACTCTTTCTAGGAAGTCTGGGGAAATAATTTTCACTCTTTTTCAGGGCAAGGTGCAAAAGCTTCAAACCATCATTACGAAGACTTTCAGGAGTAACAAGTTGCAGTAAAACCTGAACATTTTTCAGCTATCAAAAAAAAAAAAAATCTCTTTCAGGGCTTTCGCCTTTGAGATTTAATTATGTCATCTTTTTGCATACTGCGGAACTGACGTTTTGTTTTTTGTGTGTGTGTTTTTGTTTTTATGCGGTTCAGGCAATTACTCGGTGTTTAAAAAAGAAAAAAAAAATGGCTTAAATAAGAAAAGGAAAAGAGAAAAGGGCAAAGAACTCCCACCTTGATTAATTACAGAATGCTCCCCAGCCCCCTCTCTGTCCCCCGCGCCGCCACCTCCCCCTCCTCGGCTCCTATTGGCGCGCGCCGCCCGCTTCCCCGCGAGCGCATCTAACCCGACACGAGCATTAATTCTCTCCTGCAGACCTGCGTCAGCTTGCGCAGGAAAAAAAGAAAGAAAGGGGGGCTGAGGAGGGTGGGGGGTGGATGCTCAAAACCAGCAAGGACCGGTTAGGAGAAAAAAGAGAGAGAGACCTGCTCTGCAGGCTGATGTGGGAGGGGCGGGATTCTAGAAGCATCTGGAGCAAAAATCGCCGCTGCCCCCGTACCTTGAGCACGTTCATGGGCCGGTTTTCAAAAGAAGAGCCAATATTCACTTTGCTCACTAGACCAGGGTGCTCAGCCACGAGGTTATCCATTTCTTGGGATATCTGAAATGTTTCAAATGATTAAATAAAACACTTGTAAACGAATACTTGGATGCATCTATTAGTGGCTTTTCTCGCCCCTCTCTGCCCATCCCCTCGGGGCACAGTGGAGAGGGTAGCACAACCGACTGCACTGGGGGGTCGGGGGCGTTTGAATCCTAGCTCAGGGATGATGAGTCATTCTAGAAAAAGAGAAGCCATTTTGCTGCAGCAGAACCGGCTCTTTCCAGTTTTGTGCAAAACAAAATGGCACTTGTCTGGGTTGCCTGTGGCTTTCCTCCACTCAGCTCTCAGGTGGAACTTTTCCAGCCAGGAGGCTTCTCCTCCTTACTAGCAGAAGAACACAAATGATAGTGGCATCCATAAGGATGAATGTGGAGGCTGGTGCTACAAAAGGCAGCGGGGCTAGTGCAGGCCTTTGGACAATGGGACGCGTGGACTGCAGACAGACTCAACACACCAACCACTCCAGCCCCTGTTTTCCAGGCTCATTAAAATTCTGTGCATTCTCCAGCAGCCGGCCTGCGTTCATTGCTGGGACTGAGACTGCGCATCCAGAAGTTACTAGGATGAAAACAGTCCTTCCAGCTGTTGTTTGCAGCGCCGGAAAGGGGGAGAGAGGCATCTTGTTACTTCCACTCCTTTTCTTCTTCGCATCAAACTAAGATACAGCTATTTATCTATACCTATCTATATTTTTTCTTGGGGCAGGGGGAGAACATTAGAAAGGTAATAACAAGCATATATTGTATTACACTTGTGAGGTCGCTCCATATTAAAGTGCATTAATAATTCTGTCACTGAAACAAAGCAAGTGAGTTCAGGTCACATTTCACCCTCAAGTAAGTTTAGGTCAGAGCAGTTTTACCATGAAATAAATTAGGGGATTTTTTTCCCCCAGAGTTGTTTGCATTTTAAAATTAATTTAGAGATTGAGACTTCCTCCACGGGATCTTTTCTACTCTCCACCTCACCCTTTAACCCTGCAACTGCAATCTTCTCTACCCCCATCTACTCCCAAGTAAGTCAGTGCAGATAAATCCCTGTGGGCCCCAAGAAGAACTCCGTGTCACAGAGATAAGTGCAGCTTGCCCAGGTACCCAGCATGTGACCATGTGACCCAAATGGAGAAACGGACTAACATAACTCAAGAAAGACCTCAGAGACTACATAGAAGTCACTACTATGTAGCCTTGGAACCCTGAGCACGGTGAGAGGCCCCCCCCCCCACCTTTGTCTGGAATTCAAAAGTGTCAAGGTGGCCCCTGATTATATCAATGATGGCAGCCGTAAAGCACAACTCTCCAGAGGCTCAGAAATCTGCAAAAGTCTGTTGAGGGGAAGATCATGAAAGAGCTATTCATGAGCTCACTTAAAACACTCTGAACACTTCCAAAATAAGTATATGGTTGTTGGTATGGGCAGGTGGAATTCAGATCCTGCATTAAACTACTGACACTGATACAATCCCAAGGAAACTTGGAGAAGATGGAAAATAATAGAATAATTTCTAGATCATTTTATCACTACAGGGAATTAGTGGCCTTATCATCAGAGAAGAGAGTGGCCCATTACTTGGATGAAAACATTTTGAAACACCTACCTCTTCCAAGGTGTGGTAGGCCCCAAAGTTGAAGTTACCATTTCGTTCTCTTCTCCGATTAAGCAGCATTTCTTCATTCTCTTGGTCCAACAGAACCTAAGACAAACCAGTTCTACCTATGATTTAGTTAGTAGCAATGCATTTCAGTTTATAATTGTAAAGGAAATGATGACACTCAGTTCCCAGTGCCAAGCTTTCCTCTTCCTGTGCTCTACACAACATGACGTCTCTGGTTCATGCCTTTCCCCTATTCTGGCAGCACTCTGAAAGGGGATGGGACATTAATGAGGCAGTGGCCAGCCTGACCCTGCCGGTAAAGGATGAGGGTATGGGGAGGACATACAGTTATAGTCTTAAGGCTCATCCTACCTTTCTGAGTCAACCTCTAATGACAAGCTAATTGAATAGCAACTTGATTTTCCCTATTTTATTAACACCTTCATATTTATGCTTAGTCTCTCCTTGGCTCTTTCCCTTCAATTCTTTGTTGCCATATTCCAAAACTTGTGCCAGACGCAAAAAGGAAAGAAACAGTGCCTCCCTACCCAACCTGCAGGGGTAGCACATATGGCTGGAAAATCCTAATGATACCCACAGGTGCCTTCCCTGGCCAAGAGGGCTCCAGGATAAAAGAAGGGGAGCCCTCCGTTCATGTGGACCAGGAAGCCTCTAGAAATCTGGTCTATAGCATAATTACCTGAACATCTTCGATCATGATGGAATAAGTAATTCCCTGGGATTCCAAGAAAACTTTGACTGCAGGTACACTGACAAAGGGAACCCGAACATGAGCTGTCTCTCCTGGGGTGGTGGGTGATTTCCAAAAATCAAGCTAGAAGGGATAAAAGGACAAGCCAAATAAATGAGTAGGTTATTCTAGGGGGAAATGGATAGTTTCGCATTGATAGATTTCAATGTGTTTGCCTAGTTTATCTTGAGCCCACAAAATCCAAATCATTGTGAAATCACTGAGTGAAGGCAACAAGAGTTTTTAGATATCCAAGCATCAGCAAATGTGTTATATTGCCCACCTCCCCTGCATGGCTAGATAATAAAACTGGCAAAGGAAAAGATTATTTAAAACTATGGCAGTTGTTTTTTTTTTTTTTTAACAACCTGGCATTCAAGTGATCCAATTCATTTCATGATACTATAAATCATTTTAGAAGGGAACTAATGCATTAAAAGTGTTTAATATCTTTTCCAAAGTTTTTACTATCACATTTTATTTTATTTTTTCATTCTTATAATATACCTGTGGGATAGAAGAATGGTATGTTTATCCCCATTTTTCTTAATGGCAAAATGAGTCACAGGAAAGGTAGGTGACTTATCTAGTGCCATGTAGTTGGTACTAGTGCCCAGGTTTTTGGAATCCCAGCTCCATGAGTTAGCATCCCACATTCTGTCAGAGGAGTCAAAATACAGTCCAAAATAGGTGTCAATCATTGTATCTGACTGTAGAGTATTCATTTTGATAAACAAAAGCCCTCACTGGAACAAATACCTGGAGATGTTCTTCAGCCTCCAGTTGCACCAGATTTTTAATTTGTTCTTCATTGCGTGGGATAATCTCCAGAACTTGGTCTCTAAAGAGTATTAACATAGACATAAACTTGAAAGCAAAACCTGGACACTGCTTCCTGTTGCTTTTAGCTCCTGTCAGCCTCTCCACGTAAGAGATGAATGCAACAGTCGATAATCACTCTACCAACCCAGAAACTAATAAATAGGATAGTGACTCACATCCCCAGAATAAGGAGGTGATAGAATGACTTTATTTCCTCCAAGGAACCGTTATCTAAATAATAATTAAAAGGGGTACCTGCTCCTACCACGAAGCTTGTTATTAACGTTATCTTTCCTTTAGCTAATGAGTATTTGTCAAATAACACCTACTGCCCATAAAGCATCGGCTTTTAATCTTTGTGTGTTCCTGTTTTCTTAGAAAAAAAAAGTTTAAAAACAAAACAAAACCTGGGATTATTAATTTAGTGCTTGGAAGAGGAATCAAATTCACATCTGTGTAAAACTAACGTTTTCTGGGTTTGGGGTGGTTTTGTTTGTTTGTTTGTTTTAGTTTTTGCAATGATAAAAGTATCAGGGTTCCATCTCCAAACCAGATTTTTGTGGTCCAAACCCGGAAATTGCTAGGGAAAACTGGAACCCAGACAAATCAAAGTGTCTCTGTTTACCCACTTACCTAGCACTTATAATGGCAAATAAAGGATATCAGGGACATTGTGGCAGAAAAGAGAAACCCCAAAACAAGAAAGCATCTTCTTAGAGAAGAGTTTGGGTAAAGGAGCTGATTCTTATAGGTTTTCTCTGGGGACAAAGTCTTTTCCTCTTTTAACTCTTTCTTCAAGCTGGCTGACTTTCTATCCTGTGGGGAAGATTCAGACAGGTACAATGAGCCACAGAAAGGGACCAGAATCCAGTTCTGAAACCAAACCCCACACGATTTCCAATGAACGTCAGTGGAATACATGAGCAACAGAATGCTTGCTCTTTAAGGCTTTTCTGCCTCCAAGTATCCATCTGCCACAAATGGTCTGAAAATTCTCCCATTTGAGTCTCATTACTTTGGGTTAATGCATGGACTCCCAGGAGTCCTCCATTCATATGAGAAGGAGCTTGGAAAAGTAATACATTTGGCTAACATTTCCTGGTGTGTGTTCTAAGGAACAGTAGTCCTTTGAGTTGCTCAGGGAAAAAAAAAAGGGTGGGGAGGAGATTGATGATTTTTTTAAACATTGGGGTCCATGCTGCAACCTTGATTCCCTCTTAAAGATTTATAATACACACTAATTTAGTCACAGTTCCTAGGAATTTTATACTTTGTTTAACCCTCTGATTCCCAAATGTATTTGACCATCTACTTTCTTGGATCAAATTTATTTGACTGCTTCATTAGTTCCCTGAAACACTCTCCAAAAATTCTGCCCACGGGCTGGGGATGTGGCTCAAGTGGTAGCGCGCTAGCCTAGCATGCATGAAGCACTGGGTTCAATTCTCAGCACCACATAAAAACAAAATAAAGATATTAAAAAAAAAAAAATTCTGCCCAAAGTCCTTCATTGAATTGTGGAACCAAAGCACTTCAGAGCAAGGATGAGTCCTACAGCTAAGAGAGAAGTCTGTCTGAAATCATCAGGCCTGGCCTTCCCACTTCCTGAGGTTCCACCACCCAGATTCTAAATCTGAAGATCAGGGAAGACCAGAGCTGACATAGAGAATGAAGCTCAGAGAAGTGGAAGGAAGGAGGAGAGTAGTCTTGACACTTATTGTGACCCTGAGACAAATGGGCCACATGGTCTGATCTCTCCTGCTGTCCATCATCTCTACCTTCTGATCATTGGCAGGGAAAAGGAGAAAGGACAGAGAGAAATAGGGTTATTTGTGTTCTGTTTTGTGAAATATTATTATGCAAAATGGCATCATCCCTGTCATATAAAATGACCTCATAAAACAGAGTTGGGGGCACTGGAAAGAAAGGGAAACAGGCCTCAGACATGTGCTCTGAATATCTCTCACAGAACCAATCCAATGAAACTGCCTGTCCTACTTTTACTTAGCCAGTTATGAAAGAACTGCCAACTATGACCAGAAGACTAACTTTACATATTAACTCCCCCAACTTGCCAATCAGAACTTGCCTGTTCACACAAGCACCAAGAGTACCAATGAACTTTCATTCAAAATCACTTGCATAGGTTTCTCCATCGTGATAAATCCCTAGACCTTTCCTTTGTTCTCCAGACACACCACCACCCTGGGCTGTGCATGCACGTTCTGGGATTGCAATGCTATTCTTTATTCCCAAATGAAATTTCATTTATTGGAGATCCATCTCTATAATTTTCGTTTGACTTGGATAGTTTTCACTTTTATTTTCTTTTCATGTCTTTCATCTATTTTTGATCACCCTCTCCTATATTTCCCACTTATCCTCCCACCCTGATCTAAGAGAACTCTGGAAACACTGCATACACACACCCATTATTCTGTAATCATCCAATGAGAGACTCCATAAATCAGGTAATATAATTCAAATAAGCACCAGAAAACAAAACTTACCCCACAAATGTTTCTCGACTGTAGATGTGCCCAAAAAGGGCACCAAATAACAGGATCAACCTCATGGTCAAGCCTTTTCCCAGATTCCAGAATTCAGAGTCCTTCCTGAACTTTATTTATAGGGAGCACAGCTGAGGCTGATCTGTTGGCCCGCTGAGAACCCAAGTGAATTCCCACATGGTAAAATTCCCACCTGCATGTGAAATCTCCAAGGTTGTAGACACCCACCAGTGTGATATCACCAATCTGTACATTTTTCCATTCCTGGCATGAGATAACAAACTTCGATGGAAAGAAAACAAAATTGGCCAGAGCATATCAAGGGCAAATCATACATTTATGATTTAGAACATAAAGTGCCATTTGCTCTGCCCAGTGATAGAAGCCAGATTAATAGACCTAGAGGTTAAAGTCCTTTCTGGGTCTCTGACAAAAGAAAAAAAAAAAAGGGGCAGAGCATTTATAGTAATTACTCAGGCATCCTGTCTATCACATTCCATTAGTTTGCTCATTTGTTTATTTTTACAACATTTACCCTGAAACACTGCAATCACTCCGTCCACATCTGCTGAAGGTCCCTGTAGATGTGGCCCATTCCAGTCCTCACTCTATATTAAAGCAAAACAGAATGCCTTTTAATATTCAATTTTGCCCTGTCTCTAAAGTGATCCATCTGCATTTGCACCAAATTGATATCCCTATTTCTGTGCTTTTTCCCAAAATGAAAATGTCTTTCTGATTATGACAATAAGGTTGCCTGTTATAGAAAGTTTTGATTAAGAGGAAACATTTTGTTTAATCGCCCATAATTCTTCCACCCAAAGAAAACCATTTGGTGTCTATCTTTCCAAATTTATTTAGATGTTTTAGAGGTTTTTTTTTTTTTTTGTTAAAGATCAGACTGTATAACATACATTGTTTTTTAAATAAAAGTTTATTTTAAACAAAACTGATCTTTCCTTTCTTGTCCATAAATATAGATCTCCAATAATCCAACTTTGTTTCTCATTGCATAAGAAGAAAATACATCTATTTTCTTTTAGAAACCACAATTTCTTGCATTTGAGTTGTTGACACGCATTCTATTCAGTTTTGCAAAAACAAACAGCTGCAAAGAAATTTTCGTCTGTCCTGTGTGTGTCAAGTTCTTCATCTGCACAAACTTTCAATCTCTGTGTTTGAATTCTCAAAGTACCTACTAAAAGAGAAAGGACTGTATATCATGTTTCTGATTGAAGAAATCACTGAATTAACTTGGGTTTTCTTTCTCTTAAAAATCAAATAGAAGGAGCTGGGGTGGTGACTCAGTGGTAGAGCGCTTGTCTACCATGTGTGAGGCACTGTGTTCCATCTCAGCACCGCATTTAAATAAATAAAATAAAGGTCCATTGACAACCAAAACATATAAAAAAAAAAAAAAGAATCAAAGAGAAGACAAAAGCCAAGAGGCAAAGGCCATATTCATTCTCATGTCCCCAGCAACTATCAAATAAATAGTAACTCAATAAATTCACATGAAAATACTTGGAAAACGAGCCAAATCTTCCTGGATAACAAGCTGGGTCTTAGGGCAGATAGGATTTTCCAAGGTAAGTGTGAGAAGGGCTGGGTGTCTGGTGATAAAGAAAAGCAAATTAGAAGGAGAACTGGGAAAACACAAGCACTTCACTGGGTGAAAGAAGAAACTTGATGGACTGGATGGACCTGGGGATGTTGGAGAGGGTAAAACACAAGAGGGTGGAGCCAAGTGGTGGAGGGTCTCACAATCCAAGCAGGGCAGCTTGCACCTGATGAAATGAAGAAATGGAGAGCCTTGGAAGGGCTCTGAGAGGTAAGTGATTGATGGGAGTAGCACTGAAAATGTTGACTCTTGCAGTCTGAGTGGCAGTACAGAGATTCTCTAAGCAGGGAGCCAAGAAGGAGTCTTCTAGAGAAATCCAGATTTAAGATGATGTGTCTGGAATGAGTGGTGGCAATGGGGCTGGATAAGATGGGCTCAGAGAGGATTTTTAGTAAACAATTTTGAGCCCGTGGTGAGTAACTGGTACCTGGCTAAGTATAGGAGAAGTCAGGGAAAGGATATTTTCCAGAGAGTGCTAAAGGAGGGGCTGATAGCCCCCTCTTCAGTTGTTTCCCCCCCCCCCCCAATATCTTCCTATTACACAGTGTGAGTTTCCACTATAAGAATTTGTTTTGATTATTTTTCCTACTGGTGTTGCTGACACGTACAACCCAATGAATTCAACCTGCTACATGAATTCAAAAGTATAGAGACATGATAGCTCTCTTTTCTTTCTGGAAGAGATAGTGGGGACAGGCCTAGTCCTATAAGCCTTACTCCTCCCACTTCACTCCTGAGTCCAAAGGGGAGAGAGCACTGGGGGTAATGCATGAGTGAGGAAAATGAATATTCCCTAGAATAGATGAAAACAGTAATTAAAAAATAAATAGAAGAAGTTGGCAGCGGAACAAGCATAGCCTAGGAGGAGGTTATAGGGAACTCACCAGA